ACCATGTGACAGGTCATTTGCCACTGGCATCCCTACGAAATGATGAAGCAGATAAATTGGCCCAGATACGTTGGTTAGAAGGAAAGCCTGCCTCTGATGTAGCTCAGCAGTTATACCAGCATTTGTTGCATGCAGGGCAAAAGACAATGTGGGCTGTAGCCCATCTGTGGGCCTTTGACCTTTGAAGAAGTTAGTAGAGCCTGGCAGGAATGTTTCGTGTGCCCCAAAAGGGACTTACACTGAGTTCCACAGCAACATGGGACAATAGCTAAATGGCAGATAACCCTCGTCAGATGGTAGATAGACTATATTGGGCCTCTACCTGTGTCAGAAGGATATCGGCATGCTATGAAATGCATGGACACAGCTACTGGACTTCTGGTTGCTTTTCCTACCTGTTGTGCAGACCAGCAGATGACCAAAAGAGGCCTGGAGCATCTCTTTGCTGCCTATGGCTGACCACAGGTAATTGAGTGTGATCAGGGCACCCATTTTACTGCACATATACTGCAAGAATGGGTGCAAAAGCTGGAAATCAAATGGAAATTTCATGTGCCATACAATCCTACCACAGCAGGCATGGTAGAAAGGACCAACGGCTTGTTAAAATTCAGACTAAAGTCAGATATCAATAGTCTGCAGGGATGGTCAGTCCACTTATGGACAGTGCTACAGCGTTTGAACGAGAGACCCTGAAAGGGAGCCCTCAGCCCTGTAGACATGTTAACACATATTCCTGCCTCCCCTATACAACTGCAAGTACAAACCAAGGAAGAATCACTGAAGCCGAGGTTCGGCCACCAGAATAACATCTTGCTGCCAGCACCAACTGCACTGAACCCCGGAGACTCCATTGAGTGGATGAGGCCTTGGACCTTTCAACACATGGACCAACAATGGCTGGCTCTCCTGGCATCTTGGGGACAAGGCCTGGAAGCTGGCCTCCTGTGTATTCCTGGAATAACAGCAGAGTGGCCGCCAAAGGTCACAGTAGTATATCCTGAATGGTCAGAAGGTAGGAGCATCTTACCGGAGAGTTTTGTTTTATTATTATGGCCAGTGCATGCACCTCCAGTAGCACTATACATAGATCCTTGAGTAACCCCCATGGTGAACGGAGTAAAAGTATGGTATACTAGACCTCGAAGGGACCCCCTTACAGTCCTATCACAGGACCACTCTCTTGCATGCATCTTACCTGATGGACAAGATTTGCCTATGTTGGTGTCTTATCACCCCTAAAGTCTTTATGGATTATGAAACTCCTCTGGCTTGAAGATTATTATAATTTTTTGTTGCCTGTATCAAAATCTTGCTGTATCTTAATTTTCTTTATCTCTAAGTTGTTGTTATCTTCTGTTGCTATTGTGGAATCTGGTTACAGTGCTCCAGCTTTCTTGCACAGGGACCATTGCGGAAGATTGAAAGTGTGTAGATTGTAACATGAGAATCCTGGAGGGGTGGAGTGTGGGGAAGTTGGGGTTCCTATGGCCAGGATCCTCACTGAACTTAAACCACCTGATGATGTAACTGGCCTGTTGCTAGGCTGCCATTTCTACACCTTTAGGCAATAAACTATTATTGCACTATATAGAGAGCTCGGACCAGTGCTCTGTGTGGAAGTAGAGATGCTAGTGCTCGACCTACTGCCAGGAGAACAAGCCGGGTAATAAACCCTTTCACCCCAAAGAACGTTTTGCTGTCAATTTCTTTGGTCACATTGAATCCATAGCGATCTTTCCCGGGGCTAAAACCCATTGGTAAGACACCCTCACCTCCCACCTCCAGTGTAACGAGCTTCTAGTAACAAGTAACAGTGATCTATTGCTGGGAGAGAGGCAAGAGCATACAGAAAGACCCTTTGTGAGGAGCAGTGCAAAGGAAAGCAGGAAATAGAGGGCACACTCAGATGAATTCTGAAGAGAATTTAATGAAAGGACTATATACAGAAGGGAAGGAAGATCCCAGAATTAATGAGAAGGAATGCTGAGGAACTAATGGACAAGCAACAAGAGGAAACAAGGCTTAAAGTGGCAAAGAGAAGAAACAGTGTAATTGGAGTGATAGCTATAGCCAGGCAAGCAGGGCCACCTGGCAGGTGTATAGTGATCTCATCTCCTTCTCATGTCATTCATTGGATAACCCAACCAAAAGAGGGTCAGGGTGCTGGGGTGTTGCAATCCATAAATCAGTCCCTTGGGGCACAGAGCAGAACCAAGAAGGGTAGAAAATGGATGGAGCAGATGCAAATGGAAAATGCCCAGCATAATACACCCTTGCTTTCTTCCTGCAGCAATGCTCATTTTATCTCCATAGTCTTGGCAGCCTCTCTCTCTTCAGGTCTCAGACCCAGGCCTCCTTTTGTTTTCTCTTGATCCTCTCTCCAGATGATAATCATACACTTCCATGACTTCTGATGTCACTGGTTTGCTGATTATTGTTATATTTCTATTAGTATAGTCCTCTCCTTGAGTTGTAAACTCAGATCCAACTGTCTTGACAGCTACTCTCAGGTGTCTCAGACATTGCTTTTCTGACCCATCTAAGCCTATTAATAGTCTTGATTTCCCCCTCCTAGCTTCCAATTCTTCAACAAGTCCTATTAATTCCAACACTAAAATATATCCCAAATCTATCTATGCCTTCTCCTTGTAATCCTTGCCACCCTATTATTCCTGATCTTTACACTTCTCTCCTGTCTCTTCCAATTCACTCTAGACTCCACAGCCAGATGGAACATCTTAAAATGTAGACTATAACATGTTACTTTCCTGTTTAAACTTTACAGTGCCTTCCTCTCCTACCTGTCTTTGCCATACTCCTGCTTACTGCTCTCCAGCCACATAGGCTTTCTTCTGTACTCACAGGAGACAAACTCTTTCCTGACTCAGGGGCAACCCTTCTCCAACAAGTCACCACTCCCACCTGGCCGCATGTTTCAGAAGCTGTTTCTGTCTCATCCCTCAGGGTGGTTTAAATGTTTCCTCCTCAGGAAGTCTTTCCCTAGCCACCTTATTTGAAGTAAGTTCTTTCTCTATCCCATTATTTTCTATCTCCACACTTAGTTTATTTCCTTCTTAGCATCAATAAGGCTCTAATTTATCTGTTTATTTGTTTGGTTGTGTTTTTGTCATTCTCTCATACTAGACTGCAAGCTCCATAAAGCAAGGATTATTATGCTCTGTGACTGTTTCAACACCCCTATGTCCCCTGAACCTAGCACAGTGATTGATTAAAGCAGATATCCAGCAAATAATACAATACCTTATTATGTTTTCCATGTGCCAGGGACTATTCTTAGTTCCATAAAAATACGATTGCATTTAAGTCTGCATAACAAATCTAACAAGTAGGTATTAATATAATTCTCATTTTACAAATGAGGAAACTGAGGCATAGATAGTTTATGATCCAATTACTACCATTGCAATTATTTTGGGTTGTTGTGAGGAAACAGGCGGGTTAATGTGTAAATGCTGCTTTCCAGCATTTTCACCTGAATGAAAGCTAATTGATCAATGGGGTTCTGAAACAAAGAAGGTTGTTCAGTATTTCAAATAGAGGAAACTAGAGGGAAAATTAAGAAAAGGCTAGATCAAAACTGAATCTACCATTTATTGAGTGCTGACAATCTGCCAGGTACTGTGATGAACATCTTGCATCCTCTGTATGTTTAATCTTTACAAAAACCCTGTGACATTCGTATTAGTATCCATTTCTAAAGCTGAGGAAAGTGAGGCTCAGGAAGATAGGGTGAGACAACTAGTAAATGACAAGGCCAAGATTGGGACCACTCAGGACTAACTTCAAGTCTATACTCTAAGTTATTAGGCAATACAACCTGAATGAAAATGATTATAGAGTATTTAAGTACATTGCCAGAAGGTTATTTAGTAGTCCTAAAAGGTAAAGTTGTGTTGAATCATGGCAAGTAGATTATGACAAGTTTCAATGGATTAGTCCTGAAACCACAGATAGCAACACAAAATAAAGTCAAAGAGGAAGAGGAAAAAACTACTTTAACACTAAATGCCCATAAACAGAGTTAGCAGTAATCCCTTCTATTAGCATGGAAATTCCAAATAAATGATAATAGCTCATGAAAGAGAGGTGCTTGGCCACCAAATCATTTATCTGTTTAAAGTTTAACATTTTTAGTTCAAAAATCGTTTGATTATGTGTTGTGTTATGTTGTTTGGATTTCTTTGGGGGAAGGGGACTATGACCTTAAAAGAGAAATATGGCCTTTTTTCTTAAAAGAGAAAAATGATCATTGGTTCATTCAAGGAACTATATAAAGGTTTTCTAACAAACTGGAGTAAGAGGGGTTATGAGGGAAATTTATCCACCCCTTAAAAATTTATCGAATTCATATTTCAGAAGCTATTTCATTTTCCAAAACATTAACAAAAATGTAGTAGCTGGCATTTTGCATTTAACAGTTGGCTTTTTAAATATTAGCATTTGACTAAACAGGGCAGAGAAATGAATTGCTAAATATTAACAATGGAAATGAAGATCAATCAGAAATGACGATACAAATATCTAAAATGATGACATAGGTCAACATAAAATTAATTTACTGGAAAAATTAACACAAATCTTCGCAGTAATATAGTTGTTGTGTGATATTTACAAAATAAAAACCAGGGCGGGGGCGGAGGGAGTGAGAGCTTTAATGGGCTACCTTACAAATTCTCCTAATTCTCGTTCACACTAGTCAAATAATAATGTTATTTGATGATTTCTATCATTATTATATTTACTTATTAACACATTATTCTAGGGCTTTCTTTTAAACTGCAATAGAAAAAAAAAATTTTCTAATGCCTTTCATCGGCAGATACTTAGAAAGGCAGGGTGTCACAATCGCGTTCAGATAGATATGACCCTCTCTAGTCATCGTAGAAAACTAAGGTATCCGCTTCCCTCGGCGCCACGGAAACGAAACTGCATCAGGCTCCGCCCCACAGCCTGCAGTGCTAGCCAGTCAGGGCGCAGCCCGGGCAGATCGCGTGTTGGTGTCATGGCGGCCTGCAGGCATTGCTGTTCGTGCCTCCGGCTCCGGCCGCTGAACCACGGTCCCCTCCGTCTGCCAGGGCGGGATCGGGCACTCACCCAGTTGCAGGTGCGAGCACTCTGGGGTGGCGTGGGGTCCCGAGCCGTGGCTGTGGACTTAGGCAACAGGTAAGGAACAGCGTTTCTCTGTCCTTTCACAAGGCGTCCTGTCCGGCAAGACCGAGTATATTCACCTCCCAGGGTAGGAATGCGGCAGCCCCAGTCTCATTTCCCCCCTCTGTACCCGAAACCTAAATTCCATATTTCCCTTTCCAGATTTGGAGTCTGTCTGTCTCCTAGTACTCTCCCGCTCGCCGTGCTGTCTCGGCCTCGTGACCTTCGTTTCTTGGTCCTCCTCCATGCCCTACTACAGACTTCTTTTCTCCTGTCCACCTGATTCCCATTCTTTTTACTTTTTACTTTCTGGGACTCCTCGACTCTGAAGTGGGAAACTTGCTAGCTCGGGATAAAGAGCTGACAACGGATTCTTATGTAACCGATCCCCTTTATTGCCTAAAAGTGGCCAGTGTGACCCCAGGTAGGAAGGGAAGGGAAACGTCAGTTTATTGAACGTTAGTTATACGGTAAACTCTTTTTAAACCTGCAATAGAGGTACTAGTACCCCCCATTTCATAGTTAAGGCAGCAGAGGCTCACAAAAAGAGGTTAAATAACTTTCCCAGAGTCAACAAACCTAGTACTATGAGACTAGGATTTTGAACATGAATTTCTCTTACAAACCCCGTATTTTTTCCAGGGGTCCATTTGTCAGAATTCATGTCCAAAATCACTTTTTAAAAACTCCTACTTAGATCATTTTTAGAACAAACAAAACTGCTAATGAGTACTCTACATTTTTTACATATACTTATAAAAATTTTTGACCTTAATTCAGACAAAAAGCTGAAAAATCCGTCCTAACTTAACTGAATGACAGATCTTGAACAAGTAACTTCTCTTTTTGGTCCTAAAATGAACAGACTGGACCAGATCAAGGGTCTGCAAACGTTTCTGTAAGGGGCTAGACAGTAAATATTTTAGGCTTTGTGGGCTGCATACTGTGTTTACAAATCATTTAAAGATGTACAAAGCATTCTTAGCTGAAAGGATGTATAGAAACAAACAGACTATAGTTGGTTGACCGCTAAACTAAATGATTTTTAAGGCTCTTTCCACCTCTGACATTATTTCTGATTTTTTGAGGGAGAGGATATCCCTTCCATTCTTCAAGGGCTGAACACTCTGAAGAAATGCTCCAGAACATTTCAGTGGGCACCTACTATGTCCCTACCACTAGGGACTCAAAGCAGCAGGATCAACCCCTGCACTCCAAATTTTCCATAAATAATCTACTTTGAATCTTTCATTTATTAGCCAGTTTGGACCTCTTTTGCAGCTACCTCTTTTTAAGCCTAAATAATGTGTTGTAATTAGATTAATAAATATCATACCTGCTAAGTCAATTCTTTCATCTCTCAAGTTTGTTGTTTGTAGCACTTACTGAATGACTACTATGTACCATGTATATTTGTTATCATACATACTTACAATACCCTAGGAGGTTGTGTACTGTTAAGGTATTTTTCAGATAGTGTATTTAATACAGTAATTTTTGAGGCAATTGTTTTGATTTTCATTTCAGCAATGTTTTATTGAGCATTTATTCTGTACAGAGCACTGGAGATATAGTCTAATGGAGGAGTAAAATACAAGTTTAATGCAGGGGGAAACAGTGTGGGAAGGGTATGGACTGGGTGCTAAGGGAGCACAAAGGTGTACTGATCCCACCCTAAAGCTTGCCACTGAAGGTGAAATTTAAAGGGCAAGGAGGAATATTAGTCAGGAGAAAGTAGCATAGAAGATGGCAAGTGCAACTGTAGGGAGATGACAGAGTGCATTTGAGTAGCTACAAATAACTCACTATAGAGGGAGCAAAAGGTGAAATGTGGGTTTAGCAACAAAAATGAGGCCAAATCATAGAAATGTTTGGGTTTGTTTTGTTTTAGTTTTGTATTACAAATTTTTTGTGCTGTAAGTTGGAGGAAGGTAGTTACATTCCATTTCATTCTGCAGATGTTTCTGAAAATGTTCCTTAAGCATCTCTTTCCCTAAAGTTCTATTCCCTGTGGCAGATGGCTCCTCTCTTCCCATTCTGTCTTTCTCAGCTACCTCCTCCCACTCTTCTCTTCACCAATAGGATCTCTCTGCTCATCCTATCCTTTTTATTATTTATTTTTTCAAAAGTATTTTTTTATTACATATTAATTCACATTACGTGAATTAATTCATGTGGTTCCACATTTAAAAAGCTCAAAAGTGTCCCTGCCATATAGTTCCACAGCCACCCAGTTCCAATCCCCAGGAGCCACTTTGGACTTATTAGTCTTGTATGTATTTGGAGATATTTTATACATGATGTATTAAAGAATAAATTGGTGAGAGGTAAAATCAATCATAAAATGCAAGCTGTAACAGGTTGCACCAAAAACAGAACTAGAAGTACACCGGCAGGAAAAAATGAGATAGGTCAGTTAACCAGCTGAGATCATGGGATATAATGGAAGGTAACCACTTGGTTCTTTGCATAATATAGACTGCACACATGTATAGAAGAAAACCAGTTTAAATTACAAGGCAGTTTGAACAGGGCAGTCACCATGGTAAGACCATAGGACTATTTGGTGGGTGGCCTACAACCCTTAAATAAGATACTGGGTAGATTCAACAGAGGGAACAAAGAAGGTAGGAAGGTTTCATGTTTGAATAAATATGTAAATCCAAGTATATTTGTGGTACTGTAGACCTATTTATTTTTCTAACTGATTCAGTCAATCCCCATTGTAAATACATTAACCTAAAAGCTTAATTTTGCTCCCTTGGCTCTACTTGTCTGTCTGTTTAACAACTGGGAGGGCAGGGCTGGTTCTTAGCAAGGGACGGGGTAGTCCACTTCTTGCTCACACTTGTGTGTACATGTGCTCTCTCCTTTGGTACACTGCTCATTCCTACAGCTAGGTGGGGCCACGTGACTGGTTTTCACCAGCAGAACCTGAGAAGTGATATATATCATCCTCAGACTAAAGTGGTCCTTTTACTCCAATGAAGCCTGCCATTATTCAGCGAGAACCCATGTTCTTAACCTCTGTGTTCTATTGCCTTCTCTGCCCAACTGATTATATCACAATCAAAGAATAAAGATTTACCATCAGCAAGGATAGTCAATATTCAATAGAATATGCTTTTAAATTCCCCAGTACTTTTTTTGTTTATTCATTCATCCATTGACAGACATTTGAGTTGTTTCCATTTTGGAAGTGTTATAAATAATGCTGCTATCAAATCATTCATTTGCAAATTTTTGCAAGGACATATGTTTCCATTTCTCTTAAGTATATACCCTGGAGTAGAATGCTATGTAATAAAGTACTTCTCAGTTTAACCTTTTGAGGAATTGCCAGATTACTTCCCAAAGCAGGTGCACCATTTTACATTTCAGCAGTATGTGAAGGTTCCAGTTTCTGCACATTCTCACCAACATTTATTATTGCTCTCTTTGATTATAACCATCCTAGTAGATGTGAAGTAGTATCTCATGGTTTTGATTTGCATTTCCCTGGTGGCTAATGATGTTGAGCGTATTTTTATGTACTTATTGGCCATTTGTAAATTGTCTTTGGAGAAGCATCTATGCAAATCCTTTGCCAGTTCTAAAAACTGGTTTGTCTTTTTATTGTTGAGTTGGGAAATTCTTTGCATATTCTAGATACAAGTCCTTTATCAGATACGTGATTTGCAAATACATTCTCCTGTGGGTTTTATTTCACTTTCTTGATGGTATCCTTTGAAGCGTGAAATTTTTAAGTTATAATGAAGTCCAATTTATCTGTTTTTTACTTTTGTCCCGTGTGCTTTTGATGTCATACATAAGAAGACATTGTCAAACCCAAGTTTATAAAGATTTACTAATGTTTTCTCCTAAGAATTTATTACAGTTTTAGTTCTTACATTCAGATCTTGATACATTTTGAATTAATTTGTATTTATAGCATGAGAAAGGGAGGCCAACTTCATTAACTTTCTGCATTTAAATGTCCAGTTGTCCAAGAACCACTGGTTGAAATGACTGTTCTTTCTCCCATTGACTTTGTCTTGACACTGTTGTTGAACATGAAGGTCTTTGTAAGCAACATTTAGGAGTTTATATTTTGCTCTGAAAGCAATGGGGGATATTTTAAAAGCTTTTAAGTAGGGAAATGATTCAGTTTGTGTGTTCAAAGACTACTTTAGTCAACAAGGCATGGGATAACAAGATACTAAGATAAGTAAATGAGAATTAACATTTAAGAAGACTGTTGGCTTTTGGACCTTCAAAATTTTTTTCTCTCTCATTCAGATTATTTCTGCCTTGGTTTCTGTATTTTTCCTTAAGCAGTTTTTAAATTCCCCAGTACTTTTAATAAGGATATGAACGCTATCCATTTTTTTGTTGGTTGGCTTGTTTATTTTTTGCTGGGTGGGGGGCCTATATGGGGCTTGATAACCTTTAGTTCTTACAGAATCTTTGATTGTTATATTATGCTGGGAATTGTACCGATGACCTAAGTCTCTCTGTATTATGTTTTTATTTTTAAACAGAAAATTAGAAATATCCTCTGGAAAACTGGCCAGATTTGCAGATGGCTGTGCTGTAGTACAGGTAAAAAGTCCAGGTTTTTAAATTTTCTTAAGATCTCTTCCAATGGAGTCTGTGTTATTCTATAAAGAAATTCTGTAATGCTTTTCTAGAGAAAGTAATTTTACTATTTTCTTCAATAGTAATACTTGAGAAATTTTCTTCACATAGAGCCTAAATTTCCTTGTAAGAAGTAGAAAATATGATTATATGTGACTAAGCTATCAGTAAGCCTTTTCTCCTTTTAATTCTACTGCTTTTGAAAAGATCAGTGACTATTATAATACAGATGATAATCATGTAGAAGGAATCAAGATTGAATTACTTGTGAATACTTATTTTCATTGTCATTGTGTCACAGTTCTCTATCCTTAGGTTTAACTGGAGGGAGGATTCATTCAGTCACTACTTATATGATAATATCTGATTTTGAAGGAACTTACTCGTGTTGTTGTTTATGTCTAACTAAGTCAGGTGACACTGCCGTGATGGTCACAGCAGTCAGTAAAACAAAACCTTCTCCTTCCCAATTCATGCCTTTGGTGGTAAGTATTTGCTGATTTATCTGAACCATAATGTAGCATAAATGTAGAACTTGTAATATTTTTGCCCAGTCTAGTGATTACAAAATATAGACTTCCTGCAACAAATGATGTTCCTTAGTTTGATACTAAGCCATGAAAAGAATTTAAACTTATTCTTCATAACCAATTCTTATATTAGTAATAAGCATACTTTAGAATGTCCAGGTGTATAAGTTGACAAGAACAGTAGAAGTGCATGTGTACTTTGATGTTGAATAAGCAATGAATCCATTGCTTTCATAGGTCTCCCTTCAGTTTGAGTCTGCAAGTGTATGTTTGGTAAAGAGTTCATTAGGACTTTATGGCTTCTTTCTATTATGAAAAGAGGAATGCAGTTATATCTGACAGAGTTGATTAAAAAAAGGCAATGTTTGACTTGAACAAAATAAGCTACTTTGGGAAGTAGTGAGTCTGGTTAGTCATCTGACTGCTGAGTGGAAGGCTTTTTTCAAATTAACTTGCTGAAACATTTCTATCTGCTTCCTTACCCTAAGAGAGATAAAATGCTAACAAATAAAATGAAAATATTCTCCACTCTTAGGACTATGTTAGCAACCTCAGGAGATTTACTATCTATATAGTAGTTCTTGGGGAATAGTTTGTTACTGCAAAATGAATCAGATGAACTTAATTTTTTTCCCGTTGCTACTTCAGGTTGACTATAGACAGAAGGCTGCTGCAGCAGGTAGAATTCCCACAAACTATCTTAGACGAGAAACTGGATCTTCTGATAAAGAAATTCTTACAAGTCGCGTAATAGGTAAGATGTTTAAAGGCATTAACACTCTCTTATATGCCTGTTAGCATCTCTTCTCTTTTATGTCTAACCTACAGTATATTTTAAATTTTCTTTCATTACATTAACACTGCCTGAAGATTATTTACTTTCTGTATCCCCTCACTCAAATGTTGTCTCCATGAGAGAAAAAAACTTTTTGTTTGTTCACTGCTGAGTGCCATGTACCTAGTATACTGCCTGGCACAAAATAGGTATTCAATAAATACTTGTTGACTAAATGAATGAATCTATTGAGTATATAAATTCCATGGTCCATGCCTCTAACTCTGTTGAATCTATCCCTAGTATTTTTCATTTCATGTTCAGCATAGTAATTCCTTCACTTTGGACTTATTAGTCTTGTATGTATTTGGAGATATTTTATACATGATGTATTAAAGAATAAATTGGTGAGAGGTAAAATCAATCATAAAATGCAAGCTGTAACAGGTTGCACCAAAAACAGAACTAGAAGTACACCGGCAGGAAAAAATGAGATAGGTCAGTTAACCAGCTGAGATCATGGGATATAATGGAAGGTAACCACTTGGTTCTTTGCATAATATAGACTGCACACATGTATAGAAGAAAACCAGTTTAAATTACAAGGCAGTTTGAACAGGGCAGTCACCATGGTAAGACCATAGGACTATTTGGTGGGTGGCCTACAACCCTTAAATAAGATACTGGGTAGATTCAACAGAGGGAACAAAGAAGGTAGGAAGGTTTCATGTTTGAATAAATATGTAAATCCAAGTATATTTGTGGTACTGTAGACCTATTTATTTTTCTAACTGATTCAGTCAATCCCCATTGTAAATACATTAACCTAAAAGCTTAATTTTGCTCCCTTGGCTCTACTTGTCTGTCTGTTTAACAACTGGGAGGGCAGGGCTGGTTCTTAGCAAGGGACGGGGTAGTCCACTTCTTGCTCACACTTGTGTGTACATGTGCTCTCTCCTTTGGTACACTGCTCATTCCTACAGCTAGGTGGGGCCACGTGACTGGTTTTCACCAGCAGAACCTGAGAAGTGATATATATCATCCTCAGACTAAAGTGGTCCTTTTACTCCAATGAAGCCTGCCATTATTCAGCGAGAACCCATGTTCTTAACCTCTGTGTTCTATTGCCTTCTCTGCCCAACTGATTATATCACAATCAAAGAATAAAGATTTACCATCAGCAAGGATAGTCAATATTCAATAGAATATGCTTTTAAATTCCCCAGTACTTTTTTTGTTTATTCATTCATCCATTGACAGACATTTGAGTTGTTTCCATTTTGGAAGTGTTATAAATAATGCTGCTATCAAATCATTCATTTGCAAATTTTTGCAAGGACATATGTTTCCATTTCTCTTAAGTATATACCCTGGAGTAGAATGCTATGTAATAAAGTACTTCTCAGTTTAACCTTTTGAGGAATTGCCAGATTACTTCCCAAAGCAGGTGCACCATTTTACATTTCAGCAGTATGTGAAGGTTCCAGTTTCTGCACATTCTCACCAACATTTATTATTGCTCTCTTTGATTATAACCATCCTAGTAGATGTGAAGTAGTATCTCATGGTTTTGATTTGCATTTCCCTGGTGGCTAATGATGTTGAGCGTATTTTTATGTACTTATTGGCCATTTGTAAATTGTCTTTGGAGAAGCATCTATGCAAATCCTTTGCCAGTTCTAAAAACTGGTTTGTCTTTTTATTGTTGAGTTGGGAAATTCTTTGCATATTCTAGATACAAGTCCTTTATCAGATACGTGATTTGCAAATACATTCTCCTGTGGGTTTTATTTCACTTTCTTGATGGTATCCTTTGAAGCGTGAAATTTTTAAGTTATAATGAAGTCCAATTTATCTGTTTTTTACTTTTGTCCCGTGTGCTTTTGATGTCATACATAAGAAGACATTGTCAAACCCAAGTTTATAAAGATTTACTAATGTTTTCTCCTAAGAATTTATTACAGTTTTAGTTCTTACATTCAGATCTTGATACATTTTGAATTAATTTGTATTTATAGCATGAGAAAGGGAGGCCAACTTCATTAACTTTCTGCATTTAAATGTCCAGTTGTCCAAGAACCACTGGTTGAAATGACTGTTCTTTCTCCCATTGACTTTGTCTTGACACTGTTGTTGAACATGAAGGTCTTTGTAAGCAACATTTAGGAGTTTATATTTTGCTCTGAAAGCAATGGGGGATATTTTAAAAGCTTTTAAGTAGGGAAATGATTCAGTTTGTGTGTTCAAAGACTACTTTAGTCAACAAGGCATGGGATAACAAGATACTAAGATAAGTAAATGAGAATTAACATTTAAGAAGACTGTTGGCTTTTGGACCTTCAAAATTTTTTTCTCTCTCATTCAGATTATTTCTGCCTTGGTTTCTGTATTTTTCCTTAAGCAGTTTTTAAATTCCCCAGTACTTTTAATAAGGATATGAACGCTATCCATTTTTTTGTTGGTTGGCTTGTTTATTTTTTGCTGGGTGGGGGGCCTATATGGGGCTTGATAACCTTTAGTTCTTACAGAATCTTTGATTGTTATATTATGCTGGGAATTGTACCGATGACCTAAGTCTCTCTGTATTATGTTTTTATTTTTAAACAGAAAATTAGAAATATCCTCTGGAAAACTGGCCAGATTTGCAGATGGCTGTGCTGTAGTACAGGTAAAAAGTCCAGGTTTTTAAATTTTCTTAAGATCTCTTCCAATGGAGTCTGTGTTATTCTATAAAGAAATTCTGTAATGCTTTTCTAGAGAAAGTAATTTTACTATTTTCTTCAATAGTAATACTTGAGAAATTTTCTTCACATAGAGCCTAAATTTCCTTGTAAGAAGTAGAAAATATGATTATATGTGACTAAGCTATCAGTAAGCCTTTTCTCCTTTTAATTCTACTGCTTTTGAAAAGATCAGTGACTATTATAATACAGATGATAATCATGTAGAAGGAATCAAGATTGAATTACTTGTGAATACTTATTTTCATTGTCATTGTGTCACAGTTCTCTATCCTTAGGTTTAACTGGAGGGAGGATTCATTCAGTCACTACTTATATGATAATATCTGATTTTGAAGGAACTTACTCGTGTTGTTGTTTATGTCTAACTAAGTCAGGTGACACTGCCGTGATGGTCACAGCAGTCAGTAAAACAAAACCTTCTCCTTCCCAATTCATGCCTTTGGTGGTAAGTATTTGCTGATTTATCTGAACCATAATGTAGCATAAATGTAGAACTTGTAATATTTTTGCCCAGTCTAGTGATTACAAAATATAGACTTCCTGCAACAAATGATGTTCCTTAGTTTGATACTAAGCCATGAAAAGAATTTAAACTTATTCTTCATAACCAATTCTTATATTAGTAATAAGCATACTTTAGAATGTCCAGGTGTATAAGTTGACAAGAACAGTAGAAGTGCATGTGTACTTTGATGTTGAATAAGCAATGAATCCATTGCTTTCATAGGTCTCCCTTCAGTTTGAGTCTGCAAGTGTATGTTTGGTAAAGAGTTCATTAGGACTTTATGGCTTCTTTCTATTATGAAAAGAGGAATGCAGTTATATCTGACAGAGTTGATTAAAAAAAGGCAATGTTTGACTTGAACAAAATAAGCTACTTTGGGAAGTAGTGAGTCTGGTTAGTCATCTGACTGCTGAGTGGAAGGCTTTTTTCAAATTAACTTGCTGAAACATTTCTATCTGCTTCCTTACCCTAAGAGAGATAAAATGCTAACAAATAAAATGAAAATATTCTCCACTCTTAGGACTATGTTAGCAACCTCAGGAGATTTACTATCTATATAGTAGTTCTTGGGGAATAGTTTGTTACTGCAAAATGAATCAGATGAACTTAATTTTTTTCCCGTTGCTACTTCAGGTTGACTATAGACAGAAGGCTGCTGCAGCAGGTAGAATTCCCACAAACTATCTTAGACGAGAAACTGGATCTTCTGATAAAGAAATTCTTACAAGTCGCGTAATAGGTAAGATGTTTAAAGGCATTAACACTCTCTTATATGCCTGTTAGCATCTCTTCTCTTTTATGTCTAACCTACAGTATATTTTAAATTTTCTTTCATTACATTAACACTGCCTGAAGATTATTTACTTTCTGTATCCCCTCACTCAAATGTTGTCTCCATGAGAGAAAAAAACTTTTTGTTTGTTCACTGCTGAGTGCCATGTACCTAGTATACTGCCTGGCACAAAATAGGTATTCAATAAATACTTGTTGACTAAATGAATGAATCTATTGAGTATATAAATTCCATGGTCCATGCCTCTAACTCTGTTGAATCTATCCCTAGTATTTTTCATTTCATGTTCAGCATAGTAATTCCTGAAAGTATTATATTCCTCAATTACTGAAATATGTCTATAATCTTGCAAATCTTTGTTATCCTTAAATATTGTGGATTCATTTGTAGTTTAAAGCTCTATTCAGAAATTGGCAGGTTGCATATGCTTATATGCATTCTTCAGACACAGAATACCAAGAAAGGATTTTCTTTTCTTTTGGTCTGCCGTTGGTTCTTTCCTCTGCTTATGTGTATAACTGATGAATGTGGGACCAAAATGAAAAGTTGCTCCTAATTATCGACTTGTGTGCATCTGCCCTACTAGTTTTTGTTGCTAAGGTATGGTGTGTATTAAATGAAACATTGACATTTATTTGTGACCCTCTCATAAGTCAATCCAAGGGGATTTTTTTTTTCAACTGAACAGCTAGCTGTATTATTTTTTAGCCTGATGTTTAATAGGGGGAAAAGTTTGAACTGTAAAGCAACTTCAGTTAGTACTAATACCTTTTTTTCTTTTGGCAGATCGTTCAGTTAGACCTCTGTTTCCAGCTGGCTACTTTTATGATACACAGGTAGGTTCTGCTTTAGGTTTGTTTCCAGATCAATCAAAACTTACTAATGAGTCTCCATAATAATTCTTAGGCTAAACTTTATAAAGAACACAAAGTCAGAATTTTGGGGGATGCTGCTATATTTTACATTGTGTTTATTATTTTAAAAAGCTGACATTTATTTGATGTCAGTTTGAGCTGATACCTGAATTATGAGTAGGAGTTAGCCAACCTAGGATAAAAATAAATATGTCTTTGAAAGGATGTCATTGCTTCAAGAAGTTATTTCATACATGACAGGCTTATTATTACAATATAAAATAGTTTGTTGGTTTGTTTGGTCTATGCTTACAGAAGACAGCAATAGTTTTATGTAATAGAAATAGTTAATATTTACTGACTACTTTAAACATGTCCAGTATTGTAAATGCTTTACAAACAATATTTCCTATAATTTTCCTAATATCTTTGAGGAAAATGCTGTTATTTTTCTCTTTAGAAAATGAGGAAACTTTTGAGGCTTAATTTAAGTAATTCGCCCATGATCAAGCATGTAATTAAATGATAGCCAGAATTCAGTAGTTTGACTACAAAGCCCATGTTTTTAATCCTATAGAGCTTCTATATTGTAAACCAAGAAATGATAATCCTCCCTAGTAGATTTTTTTTTAAGTGCTTTCAATTTTTTTCCCTTGTACCAGATCCTTTGTAATCTGTTAGCAGTAGATGGTGTTAATGAACCTGATGTCCTAGCAATTAATGGTGGTAAGTATAAAAGTAGAGATTAAAATTATTACTGTTGGGTTTTTTTAAAAGCAATGAAATACTTTTATGTCAGCTCTTTTTCTTTTCTCTTTTAAGCTTCCGCAGCCCTCTCATTATCAGATATTCCTTGGAATGGACCAATTGGTAAGTTAGGATTTGAAATAAATATATTTTAAGGAAATATATTTATATTTTATATGTTTATATATTTTAAGTATTCACATAATTTTAATGTACTTAATATGTAAATTAAATATTTAAATATTTTAGGAAAGTATGGTATAGCAAGGTCATAGGTTTATTGACTCCAATTTATTATCTCTTAGCTGAATTAATGACATTCTAAGACTCCTGTCAGCTGTTTGAGACGTTTTCTTCTTTGCCTTGGGTTTTGTTTCTGACAGAAATGTTATGGTAATAAAGATTTTATGCCATTAGATATTTTTACTTCTTAGTTGTCTCTTCTGTTTGAGGACTGTTTTTTTTTTTTTAGACTGGGAAAATGTCAGAGGACTCTCAGGATAAAAAAACAACTGTCAATATTTTAATATATTTTAGGGGCAGTACGAGTAGGAATGATTGATGGAGAATGTGTTGTAAACCCAACACGAAAAGAAATGTCTTTCAGTACTTTAAATTTAGTGGTTGCTGGAGCACCTAAAAGTCAGATTGGTAAGTTGTTTAAGTACTACATATTCATTTAGGATTCTACTTACAAGTTCTGCCTTCTTAAAAATGTACTTAAACTCTTTTTTGTATGTATGTTTTGCCAGTTAGACATAAAGATTTGTGGGTTTTTTGCTGCCCTATTTTTATTTTGATAGTGTTCTTCATATCAAATAATATCTAAAGTTCTAAATCATGTAATTATTTATTTCCTTAGTTTAAGTATGTTAATTTAGCTAATTCAGTCATTAAGCCTGTTTTAAGTCCTCTAAGAAAGTAGTAACCTATTTAGGGGAGGTGGAAAAGTAGTAGTGAAGAAATGCACTGACCATGAGTCACCTTCACTCCTTGTAACAAAAATGTTACAACTTCATGAATGAAAATCAGAGCCTCCTTCTGTTGAAGAAGAATGGGCATTTATCATCAGAATGACTGGGCTTGAAATCCAGCATCTGACAAACAGCCATGTCACCTTGGACAAATTAATTACGGTGTCTTATAATTTTATTCTGCTACTGACATTTGATCTCTTGGGCTTTTTGTCATGTCATCTTCTGATGTGGGAACATTTTAATGAAGTGTAAACTATTAAACATTTAGTGCTATTTTCTACAGTTAATATGTGAAACATCTCATTACCAGCTTGTTTTGGGCAGTAGTGGCATTGAATTAGGTACTATATGATAGACAAAACATATGTAACAGTTGTATGTTACCTAGATATTAGTTAGAGATTATGTTGTTAAACTAAATAACAAGGCTTAAACAAGATGGTTATTTATTTTTCTCTCAGGTAAAAGAAATTCAGAGGTAGTGAGTCCAGGACAGTTATAGCAGCTCCATGATATCTTAAATCTAGATTCCTTCTAGCTTTCTGCTCTGCTGTCCTCAAGCTGTGGCCCTCATCTTCATTCTTATGGACTGGCTACCAGAGCTCTGGCCAACTCATGTGTCTTACAGGAAAGAGGAAGAGAAAGGAGGGAAATAGCGGAAAGGTGTGTATCAGCTGAGTAGGTCACTCACCCTTTTAAGGAGCTTTCCTAGGAGTCCCCACACAGCAGTTTCTAGTTTCATTGGGCATAACTGTTAACACATGACTGCATCTTTGATTCTCAGAGGCAATGAAATGGTTTTTGGTTCTACTTCCAGAAGGTGGGCTTTATACTGTGGGGAACTATCACAATGTAGAGAGTATTCCAAAAATTTGGGGAAGCCATGAATGACAGATGACCCCTACATCATATTTGATCATTTCAGAAAGGGCCATAAATAAAGTGTTGATTTACTGTTTAAATCTGATTTTTTTAAATCTTTTGTTATTATTATTTTTTTTGCTATTATTAATGTACAATTACATGAGCAATATGGTTACTAGACTCCCCCTATTATCAAGTCCCCACCACATACCCCATTACAGTCACTGTCCATCAGCATAGTAAGATGCTATAAGGTCACTACTTGTCTCCTCTGTGCTCTACTGCCTTTCCCATATCACCCTGCTACGCTACATTATGTATGCTAACCATAATACCCCTTTATCCCCCTTATCCCTCCCTTCCCACCCAGCTTACTAACTTGGTAACTGTTAGTCCATTCTGGGGTTCCATGAGTCTGCTGCTGTTTTGTTCCTTCAGTGTTCGCTTAGTTCTTATACTCTGCAGATGAGTGAAATCATTTGATTCTTGTCTTTTTCTGCCTGGCTTATTTCACTGAGCATAATACCCTCTAGTTCCATCCATGTTTTGCAAATGGTAGGATTTGTGTTTTTCTTATGGCTGAATAATATTCCATTGTGTATATGTACCACATCTTCTTTATCCATTCATCTACTGATGGACACATAGGTTGCTTCCATTTCTTGGCTATTGTAAATACTGCTGTGATGAATACAGGGGTGCATATGACTTTTTCAAACTGGGCTCCTGCATTCTTAGGGTAAATTCCTAGGAGTGGAATTTGAGGAACCTCCATACTGCTTTCCACAATGGTTGAACTAATTTGCATTCCCACCAGTGGTGTAGGAGGATCCCCTTTCTCCACATCCTTGCCAACATTTGTTGTTGTTTGTCTTTTCAATCATGGCGATCCTTACTGGTGTGAGGTGATATCTCATTGTGGTTTTAATTTGCATTTCCCTGATGATTAGCAATGTGGAGCATCTTTTCATGTGCATCTTGGCCATCTGAATTTCTTCTTTGGAGAAGTGTCTCTTCAGCTCCTCTGCCCATTTTTTAATTGGCTTATTTGCTTTTTGTTGAGGTGGGTGAGTTCTTTATATAATTTGGATGTCAACCCATATCGGATATGTCATTTATGAATATATTCTCCCATACTGTAGGATATCTTTTTCTTCTATTGATGGTGTCCTTTGCTGTACAGAAGCTTTTCAGCTTGATATAGTCCCACTTGTTCATTTTTGCTTTTGTTTCCCTTGCCTGGGGACATACGTTAATGAAGAAATTGCTCATATTATGTCCAAGAGATTTTTGCCTATGTTTTCTTCTAAGAGTTTTATGGTTTCATGACTTACATTCAGCTCTTTGATCCATTTTGACTTTACTTTTGGGTATGGGGTTAGACAATGATCCAGTTTCATTCTCTTACATGTAGCTGTCCAGTTTTGCCAACACCAGCTGTTTAAGAGGCTGTCATTTCCCCATTGTATATCTGTGGCTCATTTATCACATATTAATTGACCATATATGCTTGGTTTATATCTGGGCTCTCTAGTCTGTTCCATTGGTCTATGGGTCCATTCTTGTGCCAGTACCAAATTGTCTTGATTATTGTGGCTTTGTAGTAGAGCTTGAAGTCAGGGAGTGTAATTCCCCCCCCACTTTATTCTTCTTCTCAGGATTACTTTGGCTATTCAGGGTCTTTTGTTGTTCCATATGAATTTTAGAACTATTTGCTCAGTTTGTTGAAGAATGCTGTTGGTATTTTGATAGGGACTGTAAAGAAGTATATAATGTTAAGGCCTGCTCGGGGTCATATGAGTTTATCAGGCTCAAGGTATGCACCCCTTTCCCAGAGGAGCTGGGAAACACTCTTGAAAATGTTCCATGTGCACTTGAGAAGAATGTGTGTCCTGTTGCTTTTGGATGGAGTGTTCTGTAGATTTCCGTTAGGTCCATCTGTTCTAATACATTGTTCAGTGTCTCTGTCTCTTTATTTATTTTCTGTCTGATCTGTCATTTGTAGTGAGTGGCATTTTGAAGTCTCCCAAAATGAATGCATTGCATTCTATTTTCCCCTTAAATTCTGTTAGTATTTGTTTTACATATGTAGGTGATCCTGTGTTGAGTACGTAGATATTTATAATGGTTATATCCTCTTGTTGAGTTGACCCTTTCATCATTATATAATGTCCTTCTTTGTCTCTTGTGACTTTGTTTTAAAGTCTGTTTTGTGTGATACTAATACTGCAACACCTGCTTTTTTCTCCCTAATAGTTGCATGAAATATCTTTTTCCATCCCTTTACTTTTCAGTCTGTGTATGTCTTTGGGTTTGAGGTGAGTCTCTTATAGGCAGCATAGAGGTGGGTCTTGTTTTTTTTATCCATTCAGTGACTCTGTGTCTTTTGATTAGTGCATTCAGACCATTTACATATAGGGTGATTATTGATAGCGATTGCAGGCTTTAGATTTGTGGCTACCAAAGGTTCAAGGGCAATTCCCTTACTATCTAATAGTCTAAGTCACTTCGTATGCAATTACAAACACAACCTAAAGATTCTTTTTTTTTTTTCCCTCCTCTTTCTTCCTTCTCCATTCTTTGTATGTCATGAATCATATTCTGTTCTCTTTGTCTATCCCTTGGGTGACATCTATTTAGTCTTAGGAGTACTTCCATCTATAGGAGTCCCTCCAAATGCACTGTAGAAATGGTTTGGGGGAGCTAAATTCTCTCAGGTTTTGCTTATCTGAAAATCGTTTAATCCCTCCTTCAAATTTAAATGATAACCTTGCTGGTTAGAGTATTCTTGGTTCGAGGCTCTTCTGCTTCATTGCATTAAATGTATCATGCCACTCCCTTCTGGTCTGTTAAGGTTTCTGTTGAGAAATCTGATGGTAGCCTGATGGGTTTTCCTCTGTATGTGATCTTTTTTCTCTCTCTAGCTGCTTTTAAAATTCTTTCTTTATCCTTAATCTTTGCCATTTTAATTAGTATGTCTTGATGTTGTCTTCCTTTGGTCCCTTTTGTTGAGAGATCTGTGCATCTCAGTGGCTTGAGAGACTATCTCCTTCCCCAGATTGGGGAAGTTTTCAGCAGTTACCTCCTCAATGACTCTTTCTATCACTTTTTCTCTCTTTTCTTCTTCTAGTACCACTATGTTGCGAATATTGTTCCGTTTGGATTGGTCACACAGTTCTCTCAATATTCTTTCATTTTTAGAGATTCTTTTTTCTCTGTACCTCTGCTTCTTTGTATTCCTCTTCTCTAATTTCTATTCAGTTTACCGTCTCTTCTACTACATCTAATCTGCTTTTAAATCCCTCCATTGTATGTTTCATTTCATATATGGAATTTCTTAATGATTGAATCTCCATCTTAAATTCACTCCTGAGTTCTTGAATATTTTTCTGTACCTCCATAAGCATGTTTATGATTTTTATTTTGAACTCTTTCAGGAAGATTGGTGAGTTCCGTTTCATTTGGCCCTTTGGGGTTTGTGAGATTTTGGTCTGAACCATGTTCTTTTGATGTTTCATATTTCTGTGTGGTGCCCTCTAGTGCCCAGAAGCTCCAGTCTCTGGAGCTGCTCAGCCCCTAGAGTGAGTTTGGGGGTCATAGGGGAGCGGAGCTGGTGCCTGGGGGGAGGAAAGATCTGTTACCTGATTCCCGTCTGCGGTGCCTGTCTCCTGTATCAGAGCCAGTGGGCTGAGTACACAGGTGTAAACTTCTGTGCTTGGGGTATCTAGCTGTTGTAGGTGGGGCCTCCTCCTGGCTGGCCTGATGCCAGAGCAGTGACTGCCAGTTTGCGAGCTGGTGCTGTCAGGCCAGGAGGAAGGCTTGGCAGGCTGCGTATCACAGTGGGGGGCCTCAAAGCTGAGGAGCCAGCCAGGGGTATGGAGTGCCTGAAGCTCCCCACAGGTCCCAATCTGCTGGTCAGGGCATGTCCAGACACCCTTATCCTTCTGTCCCTTCTCCCGCACAGCAAGCTCCATGCAAACCCTGCCCCTTCAGCAGCCCTCTTGCTGCTAGGGAGCCAGCCTGTCAGACTGCATGCCTTTCCCTTGTCCTAGAGCGGCCAGGTGTGGATCCCATCCTTCACAAATGGCCGGAATCTGTCTCTCAAGCACTCCGCCTGTCCCAGCTCCCCATCCTCCAGAGCACCACACAATGTAGGTTTCTGCTCACAAAGCAGATCTCTAGGGCTGGGTGTTCATCAGCCCCAGGCCTCCATCCCCTCTCCTGCTCCATTTCTTTTCCTCCTGCCAGTGAGCTGGGGTAGGGGAAGGCCTTGAGTCCCGCCAGATCAAGGCTTTTCGTACATTACCCTGTTTCGTGAGGTCTGCTCTGTTCATGAGGTCTGTGTGCAGTCTGGTGCAGCCTTTTTTCCTGTTGCTGTTTTAGGGTTAGTTGTATTAACTATATTTTCACACTATCTGTGGTTTTGGGAGGAGTTCTCTGTCTCACCTCTCATGCTGCCATCTTGAATCCTCCTCTAGAGTGTTCATTTACTTTTGATTAGTAAATTGATTTGACTGTTTTGCAGGGTTGTTTGGAAGAGATTAGAGTCAAGGTTTATAAAAGTACCCAGCATAATACCTAGTACCTGATAGGCATATTATGGTTAATACCTGCTATTATCCATTAAGTCACAGAAATAAACTTGCTTCTAAATAGACCTATAGCCTCTATCTGCTTCAGAGTTTTAAACTGTTCAGGTTTTAAGTAGACATTGGAGGAATGAATCAAGGATCTTTATTGGATCTTTGGCGTTCCATGGAAATCCCATAAGTAGCCTTCCAGCAGCTGTTCTCACCTGTTGCTCTCTAAATGGAATAAAGAAATTCTAAAGGCTGTGTGAACCCACCAGAAGGTAGTCTTGAGTAATTAGAGGAAGGTTGAGAATGATTCAGAACCAACCTATAAGGAGTCCATTTTCAGAAATTACCAGCTTCCATTTTATGACTTTTGTATTACCATTTCCACAAAGATACTCGACCAGCTCTCTTTTCTTTTGAGAAGTACACCATATGTACATTTGGCCTCATGTTCATGTGTTAAAGTTATTACTGGGCCCAACTCTTATCCCACCATCATGGAACTTTGTGGATACAAAAATACAAAAAAAGTAATAGCTACCATTTCATTATTAAAATACTTAGTAATCCTAATCTTTAAAGTATGACCTTATAAGGGGAAAAACAGTATATTTGTGCTGTCGGCTGCTAGGTTACTTCAATCATTATTCTCCACAATGTCATTTAGGTGCTTGATTTCAACTGGTATATTTATTGTCACTAACCTTTGTGTATTCTAGGAATAATCCAGTAAAAATCTTTAAGAAATCTGTAAAATTCAGTTTTTGCTAATCTCAAAAATACTTTATCTTCAGCTATTGAAAATGGTTAGCAGTTTAGAGCAATCATTTTGACAAGCTTTTATCTTTTAGCTTCTGTGATATTGCTGTCCAGTAGAACTCCTTGCAATGAAGGAAATGTCATATCTGAATATGTGGCTATTGAGTACTTGAAATGTGGCTCAAGTAAAAGAACTGAATTTCTTAACTTACTTAAATGTGAAAAGCTATATTGTACTAGTAGTTAACATAGGTCTATAGACTCAAATTATAAGGAATTTTCTTACAATGTATTTTTTAAATGAATTGCTTTGAAGTTCAATTGATGAAAACAAAATTTGAGGAATATTTGTTTTCTTTGCCATATTTTCATATTCTCTTTTAAAAATCTATTTATTGAGGTATAATTTACAAATGTTAAATGCATTCCATTGCAATTTAATTCTATGCCAGTGAGAGAGGATATCATCTCAATGTCATAGTATCAGAGGAAACTTCTTTGGGCCCCAGTGAAGTACTAAAACCTTACCTACTTTTATTCTCCTCCATTTATAATACACTTGTTTTAATATTCTTCTACATTTAGAACCATAACAGGCAGTGTTACAATTTTTGCTTTTGATTCAACCATCAAGCATAATTTAGAAAACTCAAGAGAAGGAAAATGTACTGTATTTATCCATATTTTTGCTTAAAAATGTTCTTTTCTTTCCTGATACTCCTGGTTTCTTCCTCTTTTTTATTTTTTACTTTTCTATTAAACTTCATTTAACCATTTTATCAGAGTAGGTCTGCCAATGACAAATTTTCTTAGTTCTTCATCTCACTGTCTTGATTTCCCCTTCATTATTAAATATTTTCACTGGGTATAGGATTATGGGTTGACAGTTCTTTTCTTTCAGCACCTGAGAAATATTATGCTACTTCCTTCTGGCCTCCAAGGCTTCCGATGATAAAAATGTGCCGTTATTTGAATTTATTTTCTTACATGGGTAAGGTGTCATTTTTCTCTGGTTGGTCTCAATATTTTTTTCTTTATCTTGGTTTTCAGAAATTTATCTTGGTGTCTTTCTTTGGGTTATCCTGTAGAGGGTTTACTCTGCTTCTTGAATCTATACATTTCTTTCTCTTCCAAATTTGGAGTGTTTTCAGCAATTTTTTTTTCACAGTGCTTTTCAGGCCTTGCCATCTTTCTAGTCTCTTTCCAGGATTCTGATGATGCAGATGTTAGATTTTTGTTTTCATTTCACAAGTCTGCTTCAATTGACTGAAGGAATTCCAACATTTAAAGCACATAAGGAGATTTTTTTTATACTAGTTTACACCTAGAAGCCCTAAAAGTGACATTTTAGATAACTGTAAATCTTAATGACAGAATGTTATGACAAAACATATTAGATATTATAGTAGCTATTTATTGCATGATCTTTGACTCTGTAGAAGTTGAGAAGTGCCAGAAGTGACACCCAAGTAGTAGAAGTCTATTCCACCTTGCAGAAACCAAAGCCAACACTGCATAGCAGATGATAGCCAGATAACATGCTAGAAGCCCTACTTTGAAGTTTCCCTACTTTACACAAGAGTTTACTATTACAAAACCATAAAAGCATCCTTTTTATATTTGTGGTTAGGGTCCTCTAATTGGCTTAATTGAAACAGTATTATTGCAGATGATATTCCTACCTGTATAAGAATTAGACAGTATGACAAGAGAATTAAGTAGGGGTTCACATCAAATAATTGTTAAACAGGAAACATTTATTGGATACCTACTCTGCTGATATTTTAAAATTTCATTTTAACTACAGATTAAAAATAAATGCAATGGACTTCATAGAGATCACTAGGGCAACTCTTGGAAGAAATATATTTGCATATTGAAAAATCTAGCTAATAAAGTAAAACAAATAAATAAATAATTAAATGCAGTTGTACACTTAAATAAGTGGAATTTTATGGTATTTGAATTATATCTCAGTAAATTATTAATATATATATATTTTTTTAAGGTATGCATAGTTTATTTTTTGTTATATTTTTTATGAGAAATCCCTAAATTTCAGAATATAAACCTGACTTCAAATATCAAGATTTCTTTATTCATTTACTGTTGTTTGCATTTTGGAAGTTTGCTGATTCTGAGGAAAGAATAAGGTAGATATACCATTAATAAACAAAATTGTCTATGGTACTTACGTCATATTTGAAAAATGCTATATTGGTAAAAGGTTCAATGACAATCTTTTTATTTTTCCTTTAAATAGTCATGTTGGAAGCCTCTGCAGAGAACATTTTACAGCAGGACTTTTGCCACGCTATCAAAGTGGGAGTAAAATATACCCAACAAATAATTCAGGGTATCCAGCAGTTGGTAAAAGAAATTCGTGTTACCAAGAGGACCCCTCAGAAGTTGTTTACTCCTTCGCCAGAGATTATAAAACACACTAATAAGTAAGAATATCTGTACAAAAAAGATTTGAAATTGTCCACAGATATAATTTCCTCTTAGAAAAAAAACTTCCATGGAAGTCCACATTGTACTTAAATAGCACCCTTCTATTTTGAGTCACTGCCATAAAACTAATGTAACTGTAAAAAGGATAAACCACATCCCTCTTCAAGGGCCTAAGTTTGAATCTCAAATAAAAGGGGGAATGAGTTTATTGGTCAACATTAGATAAATCGCATATCTGTGTCAAGGAAAAAGAGAATAAAGCCTAAGATGTTTGAATATCTTGAGGGAACTGAGATTCTCAAAAAGAAATCAAGTATAACTGTCACTGTATGCCCAGTGCTTAGAACTGTACCAGAACATAGGCAGGCATTCAGAAAACATAAATGAATCACCAAAAAAATTTCATTTTATTTGAAATAAATTGAAGAAGTTAATATTTCCCTTAATATCAATCTCACAGCCATCAGTCAGAAATGAAAAGTTATATAAATGTCCCCAATAAAAGAGTTGTCTGCAATAATAGCCAAACTGGATAGAACAGAAAAAAGCAAGAGTTTAAAGAGAGTGTGGGGGAGGGAGACAAAGGAAGAAAAACCTAAGGTGGAACTGAATAATTAAGAAAAGAAAGGATATATTACCATTTGTGAGTGATGGGGTGGGGAGAAAAATGTGTTCTGTATCACATTATAAATAGTAAACAGATTAGTCATGTTAAAGGGTAACAACATTTTAAATTCTATGAAATGTCTATTATTAAATAGTTTAGCTTTTCATTAAGTATTTTAGTTCTGTTTGTAATAGACATATACCTTGTGTTTCCAAATATTGCTATGCTGACATTATTTTGTGCTTTATAGATTTGCCATGGAAAGACTCTATGCAGTTTTTACAGATTATGAACATGATAAAGTAGGTGCTCCTGAATTTTGTCTTATATAATTGTACTGGTAATTCTTTTTTGTCGTAACTCATGTAATTTTGTTTATGAATGTCAGTCCTATTTTTATGAAAAATCTCTAAAACAGAAAGCTAAGTAAAAGATAAGCTATTTGCTTCTCCATTCTCCTTTTGTTGACTAATACAAGTTTTAGGGAAGTATATAAATATATTTGAATGAATTAAACAGGTAATGTTTCTTAAACTCAATAAACAGTTGTAATCCTTTTAAGAGTACTACCTACCATTAGAGAAATATGAACACTTCTACAATGTGTTGATTGTATACTCATGTAAAAATAGAAATGTTAAGTGTTGCCATGTATATATAATAAATGAACCTCAACTTTGTTTTAGATTTCCAGAGATGAAGCTGTTAACAAGATAAGATTGGATACAGAAGAACAACTGAAAGGTGAAATGTTGGGGATTTTTTTATTTAAAAAAATATTTAAAGGAAATAAATTTTTAAACTTGGTTGTAAGACCTCAGAGAAATCAGTTATTCTCATTGCTCTTTAGTTTTATCTTCAGTAAGTCTGCAATGATGCATCGGTCGGCACCAGTAAATGTTGAATGTGAAATATTCCTGATCCTCTGTATCAGACTCTTGTATTCTAAGATGAGTAATCTTGTATCCTGTCCATATGAAAACCTGAAAGAAGTGCTTTCAAATTCTTGAGCTCTTAACCTGTGAAACTGAAATACTAATAAAATCTGGTTTATGGAGATTTAATGAGTAATTCATTTACATCTGTGCCTGGCACAGAGCAAATACTCAGTAAATGTTAAGTGATGCTGTTGTTATTAATGTCATGTGGAATTGTAAAATTTAGATTTTAGAGAATTTAATTCTGGAAATTACTAAGCAAAAGATTTTAATTGTATAGTATCAATCACACAAACTGAATGTGTACCAAGTATGACATACAGTTCTTATTTTTTCTGGTAATAAATATCCTCTAAGTATCTTAAGATAAAAATTCTGCTGTTAGCATTGGTATTAAGGCCATTATGTATAATTGCCATTGAAAAATTTCAGTCTTTTCTCACTATATTTCAGCTGTTTGTTAAGAATGAGAAGTTGTGTAATACCTGTGGCCTTATTTAAAAAGTAATTTTTTGTATTATACATAGTAGAATATCTTCATGACTCTGAGTTCATATTTTAAATGTTTTATTACTAACTATTTTCTTCTCCAGTTAAAGTTTATCAAAGTGTAATATTTAAAATCATTTTTGTCTGTTGATAATACAGTGCTTACTTAATATATCTCCCTTTTTGTGGCCATTTCTTATATTCTGGTCACTTTAAAGTTATAATTTAATAAGCCAAATTCTTGACAGTGTTTAAAACTTGGCATGAATCAGTTGATAAGGTAATGTGGCTAAAAGTTAAAAGCATAAACCTAGGCACACAGACCTGTATTCAGGTCACAGCTATATCAGTTACTACCCGTGTGATCTCAGGCAGTTTACTCTATCTCTTTAACCTATTACTTCGGTAAAATGGCGATAATAATAGAATTTACCTCATGGATTGTTATAAAAATTAAGGGCATTAAAAAAATACATGTAAAGTGCCTGGGTCATGAAAGACCTTGATAAATGTTAACTAAAAAAGTCAGTAGGGATTTAAAATATGTAAAGAAAATTATTCCTCTATTTGCAGACTGTATACAATAAAAATTTCTAAGGTGAAAACAGTGAGGATGACTACTAAAAAAAATGTCATATCTTTTCATAATATGTTTGGCTGGATTTGTCAGGTAACAGTACAATAATTGATTTCAAAGCACCGTTGTTCTGGTAGAAAGCAAATTAAGTTCCCAGTAACAAAACATGTGAGATATCATACTTGTGTCTCTCCTGATGGTGAACATTTGACTTAACCTTTTGTTTTCCTGAGGACTAAATGTTCAGAGTTAACTCCCTTGGTTTACTTCCATGTTAACTGATTTGCTGCTGTGGATTTAAGAGAAATCCTGTCTTTCAAAAGAGAAAACCTTTGTTTTGGTTTGTCTTTATTCTATAGAAAAATTTCCAGAAGTTGATCCATATGAAATAATAGAATCCTTCAATGTTGTTGCAAAGGAGGTTTTTAGAAGTATTATTTTGAATGAATACAAAAGGTAAACATATCCTTTTTTGATGGAATTGAAGCATGAGCTGTCTCTAAATTGTCTTGAAAGTGGCAACTTGCTCTTAAAGCAAGGAACTATTTTGGTCTTTTTTTCTCTTCAAGTGAACAAGTAAAAAATTACAATATTTGATAAATGGGTACCTATCTAAGAATGTGTTGACTGTCTCTCTGTGGACCTTGTGTGCAGAGCAGTGCTTCACAGCCCTTACTTGACATCAGAATTACCTGCAGAACATTTTAACAATACAGGTGTATGGGTTACAACCCTTGAAAATCTGATTCAGTGGGACTTAAGAGTGGGGCCCAGGTATCAGTATTATTTTTTAAAGTTCTTTTAAGTTCTACAGGTAATTATGATATTCAGCTGGGGTCAAGAACTTCCTGGTAGGGATAAAGAATATGTGATTTTTGTGATTTCCAACACTGCTTTACATACTTATTTCTTTTATTACCGTAGGTGTGATGGTCGAGATTTGACTTCACTTAGGAATATACATTGTGAGGTAGATATGTATAAAATTCTTCATGGATCAGCATTATTTCAAAGGGGACAAACACAGGTAATAGATGCTAAAAGCTGTAATTATTTGTTGATTCAGGATTGCTTAATTAGATCTAATATAAGCCCATTATGTAGATGCTATAGGTTTTTATCACATTGAATGTATTATCCAAATTCATATCTGATAAAAAGTATTTTTAGCAGCTTTTTTTAGGTATAATTGCCATATAAGAACTACACATATTTAAAGTGTGTTTACTTAATAAGTTCTCATGTTTACAACTGGGAAATTGTCACCATAGTCAAGACACTAACTTACCAAGCACCTCAAAAAGTTTCCTCGTGGTTCTCTATAATCCCTTTTCCCTGCTCCCCCCCTTTCTTCAGGCAACTATTCATCTGCTTTTCTCACTGTAAGTTAGTTTGAAATACCTGTAATTTTCTATAAATACTAGTATTTTTATTGTATTTTTCTTTTAATTTTAGGTGCACTAAATTGTCACTCATACTTCTTGGTGTATGGCATGTTGTTGGTGGTGGTCTGTTTAAGGCCTTCATTTGTTTTCTCTATTTAGCGTATACCTCAGTCCTTTTCTTTTCCCCTTATATAGGCTCCCATTCTCTTGTATTTAACATGTATGTGTATCCATTGTTTTGTGTATAGTATTATGATTTACACATCATTATTCTTACATTAATCACTAATTTTTCCAGTCTAATGGGTACAATGAGGTATGTCATTGCTTTCCTTTGTATTTCCCTGATTTAGAAGTGAGCCTGAGCATCTCTTTATGTAATAGCCCATGAACATGTCACATATAAACCATACCCACCTTCAGGGCATTCTTTACACGTAGTGTCCCTAAAGTTAATCAGTGTGTTAGCCCTGGTTCAAGTTTGCTTTTTTGTGAGTTATCTGTTCATATCCTTTGTACTGTCTTTTTCATGCTATTTTTCAGTGATTTCTTATGTTTTAAATATTAATCCTTCTTAGGGACCAGAATTTGTACATACTCCTTTGTCATGTGCCTTTTAACTTCACTTGTGGTAGCCTACTATATCTAGAATGAACATGAAAACTTTAGTTTTGATTTAGTTTTATTCTTTCCTTTTACACTTTTGTAGTTTATGTTTTTAAAGTCTTATTTAAGAAACCCTTCCTTACCCAAAGTCACAAAATTATTCACCTATTTCTCCTTTCTATTATCTTTCTGGTTTTAGCTATCAAATTTAGACCATTAATCAATCTTGGAGTTTATTCCTATACATGGTATGAGGTAGAAACCTCCAGAGTAAGCCAATTTTACAACACATTCACTAATTATTTTTCTCATTAACTTTTAACATCACCTTATATTCAAAATTTATAAACAGGATTTTTAACTATATTCTCTTCCTTTGTTCTGTGAATTTCCTAGGCCAGTGTCAAACTTTTATTATAATTTGGGGGTATGTCTTAATATCTGAGAAGCAAATCCTTTTTATTCCCCCCTTTCCCCAAAATTGTCTTAGCTATTCTGGTACATTTGTTAGAATTTTAATATTATATCAAGTTCTGAAAAAAAATCTTCCTAAGATTTTGATTGGTATTGCACTGAATTTATGGATTAGAGAGAGGAATGGTATTTTTACTATTTAAATCAGTGTTTACAGTGAATATAGTCTATCTCCCTTTGATTCAGGTTTTCCTTTATGCCTTTCAATAAAGTTCTTAGAATAACTCCATTAAGATATTCTTCATACTATTTTTTTTAGCCATCTGACAGTCTCTGCCTTTTAAATGGAGTGTTTAGTCCATTAATGTTTGGCCCCAGTTTTTTGGTTTTCTGTTCTTATTTTCTGCCTTTCTGGGTTAATTGAATATTTTTTAAGAATTCATTTTAATTTGTTCACTTTTTAGCTATATTCTGCATTCTTTCTCAGTGGCTACTGTAGAGAATTCAATATACATCCTTAACTCTTCAGTCTTTTTAGACTTAATTTTTTTATCACTTCATATAAAATAAGTAGTTTGCAACCAGTTAGGTCCATTTGGCCCTCCTCCTGTCCTTTATGCTGTAGTTGTCTTACGAGTTACATCTACATGTTATAAACTCCACAAGGCAACATTGTAATTTTAAACAACCATATGTATTTAACAGGAAAAAGACGGCCTTTTATATTGACCCACATAGTTACCTGATAAACATAATTTCTGATGCTTCTTATTTCTTCCTGAGGATCCAAACTTTAATCTAGTACTACTTCCCTTCTGACAAGGCTTCCTTTAGTATTATGGTCCTATGGGTCTTCTGGCAACAAATTGTTATTTTTCATTTATCTGACAGTGTCTTCTTTATTTTGCCTTTATGGGCAAAGAATTGTTTTGTGGGTTATAAGTTCTGGTTTATGCTTTTTTGTTTTAGTACTTAAAGAAATGTCCAACTGTTTTTTATTCTCCATTTCTTTTTCTAATGAGAAGAAAGGACTTGGTTAGATCATTATTCCCTATGTTATTTATTGCTTTCACCTGGGTGCTTTTAAGATTTCCTCTTTTTCTTTGGTTTTCAGCAGTATGACTATGAAAAGTATGGTTTTCTTTGTATTAATCTGTTAAGAGTTTCCTGAGCTTGAATCTGTAAATTTGTCTTTGATCAAACATGAAAAATTTCAGCTATAATTTCCTCAAATATTCTACCTCTGGGAATTCCAAGTACCTGTATTAGTCCTTTTCATATTGTCCCCCAGGTCCCTAAGGCTGTGTTTCCTCCACCCCCCCCTTTTTTTTTAGACTGGACAATTTCTATTAATACATCTTAATGTTCACTAACTCTTGTCATCTCCTTTCCATTATGAAGTAATATGTTTTTCAGTTATAGAATTCCTAGTGCTTCTTTTTTATGTCCTTGAGCCTACTTGTAATAGCTGTTGAAAATCCTTGTCTGTAAATCCAACATCTGAGTCAGCTTCAAGTCAAACTCTTTTCAATGTCTTTTCTCTTGAGGATGGGCTCCATTTCCTTTTTCTTTTTTCTGTAAGTTGTATCCTGAATGTACTGAATAATACATTGTAAAATCTGGATTATGTTTTCTCTCTCTCTATAGAAGTTTCTTTCCTTTTCTTTTTTTTAAATTTTAAGCAGGCAGTTTTATTGGCTGAGCCTTTGTTGAGGCTTCCTTTATGGTCAGGTTTTATGAATATTCCTGCCTCTTCCTGTCCTCCTCCCCCAGCACTCCTAGTACAGTGCTTTACATATGAAGTCTATGTGATGTTAGACATTTGGATTATGGAGGTTTACACAGAACTCTAGGGATTACAGAATGAGTGAAAGTTTACTGTATTAAGTAGCATAGCAGCTTTATGTAGAATGTACTTATTCCCATTTCTTTAAAAGCTAATAGGGTTCTTCAAATGTTTTTAGTTTTCATCTTTCTTGTTAGTAAATTAAAGCCTGAGGAATTTTTTTTCTTCTTTTTTAGGTGCTTTGTACTGTTACATTTGATTCATTAGAATCCAGTATTAAATCAGACCAAATTGTAACAGCCATTAAGTAAGTTATGTTTTTTGGTTCTGATGTTCCAGTATATAATTGAACCTTATGTAGTATATTATTATTCATTATTACTTTTTAAAACCAGTATCTCATTTTTCTGTTTACATAATAGTGATTTCAAGTTATTTTTTTGTGCTATACTGTGTTGTAACTTATTGGTTCAAACAAATGTTGGTAAAGGATTTAATTCTTAATATGGGTACATTTAGTTTATTCTGTCTCCAGAACAATTCCTCAGGACAGACTTCCTGGATAATCTTGAATGGATAGGTTTTCCTATTATAAACAAGAGAATAAATAAGCAAGAGTTCCAGTTGCTGAAAAGAATATGGAGTCTGTTAAATGACAAAACCTTACCTAATCCCAAGCCACATATGAATTTGTGTTCCAAATGCTTGGCTCTCCTCTGTTCCCAAAGAGTCAGCAGTAAAATCATGTTGGTTAATTTCAGATTATGAGAATCGGTATTGTAGTCCTTATCAACATTACTGCATCAGAGCCCTGGAACTCACAGCCACAGTTCTTTGTTTTCTTAGTGCCTTAACAGAGCTGCTTGTTTCTATTGTTAGGGTCTCAGCAAACCACAGGATTTCTACCTCCCTCTTTTTACTAGCCCAACTGATCAAGATTGTCCCCAGTATCTTCAGGATAGCATTACTAATTGTTCTTCATGTTATCTAATAAAATTGGCAATGCAGCTGTGTTTATAAGGTTGGGAGTTTCATTGCAATCATATCCTTCCGAGGGGAGCTCTTATATTTGTATTTTAAATTCCCATCTGGGCCAAAGCTTGGGTGCCCTGCCCTTCCTCACATTAACTCCTTTCCCTTCTAGGAGGCAACAAGCTTCATTAAGAGTGATCACTGGGGTTGGCCAGGGCACCTGATTATATTCTAGTCTTAGGTCTTAGGTCTATACCAATGTAAGTGAGGGGGCACACATCACTCAGCCATGCTGGCCATTGGTTTCCTCATCTTGTAAAATGCCAGTACTGGGCTAAATGATCCCTATGCCCCTCTTTAGCCTGCAAAATTTATGATTCCTTTAGTTATCTGAAAGAGTCTGATTTTTAGATTTCTATTCCCAAGGCTGTAGTGTATGTTTATAAAGATTCAGTGTTAACCCAAGACTTTCTAAATCCTCTGCTCAGAGAGATGCCCTTTGTAATCCCACCAAAGAGGACACTATTTTAAGAACCCTGTATATGCCTCCTTTTTCCTCAGTTAAAGATAAATCTAGTTTCTTGCTTCCAGAAATTGTGTTTCTTTTCATCCTTCGTTATTTTCCCCATTGTTCTAGATACAGTCATAAAAGTTATCTTTATAAAACCTGAAACAATCTGTGCCTATAGATCTCCTGATTTCTCTCAGCTGTATCATTTCAGTTACTGATCTTCATTTCACATGTTGACTGGGAGAAAGATTGTAACTGAGATTTAGTAACACTTAGGATCCTTTCATTAGTTATTAATAAAAATATGTCTTACTGCTTTCAAATCTGGATATTAAAATGCTTATATCTGAAGCAAAATTGTTTTCCTGAATCTATATAAAATTCATTCATAAGCCCCAGAAAAAAATACCATCTTTGACATTCATCCTTCTAATTCTTCTGGTTTTAAATTTCAGACTCTCTTTAATATATGATTGTTTTTAAAAAATACCTTAAGTGTATATTAGTTGTTTATTGGAATTAATTTGTATCTGTATGATGTTTTTTAATATTGTGCTTTTTGTTTCTAGTGGGGTAAAAGATAAAAATTTCATGCTGCACTATGAGGTAAGGTGAATTTTTTTCCCCAATATTTTATTAAAAATTTCTAGGATACAGCAAAGTTGAAAGAACTTTACAGTGAATACCTGTATACCCACTATGTAGGTTCTACCATTAACTGTGCTGTTTTTATCATAAATCTGTTAAAGTAGATTTGGGTACTCTTTTATTGCATACAGAAGGGATTTAATGAGATACATAGATTTCCAATCAACAACTTTGTCTGAGTCACACACAAAAGTTAAAGTATAGGAGACCACATTGTTTTAGTCAAGAAAGAGTTGTACCTGTTCACATGTGTGTCAAACAAAAGTTGGGCTTTTCAAGTAACAAATCACCTTCTCCCTTTAGCTCATGTAAATGTTCATATTTTTACTCGGTTGTTTAATATTTAATATTGAATTACTTTATAGTTAATATTAAATTAAATACAATTTAAATTAGTATTAATTGAACAAAGGTACTTAATACTATATTACTTTATAGGAAGGCATTATATATAATCAGGTTTGTGATTGACTTTACTCACGCTAATCCTAAGGGACCAGACATGACACACGACACTTTTAGTATTTGAAGCATATACTCTAGGAGGAAAGTGTACAGTAGCAAGTGACCATTGTTGGCTACCCAGAATCCCAACATCATAATTTTGTTGAACCCAGTATAGAAACATTTCATGTAGGAAAGAAATATATGCTAGAGAATACCCAAACCTGGAGATTCTCAACAAGTTTTGAGTCCCTTATAAACATACTATGCTGGATATACCCAAATGCTGCAGAAGCCAGAGAGGAATTACAGATGAGTAAGGTACATCCTTTTTTATGAGCCAAAGATAGTAATCTTAAAAAAGGACAGCTGTGAAAAATGAAATTCTTAGTTGATTAGTAGAAAAGGGTATTGGCTATTGTATCAACCCATTTTTAAAAACCTTGTTATTGTAAAATAAAATGGATACTGAAAACTATATAAAACCAAGAATGGCCTAATGAGTTTTTATAAGGCAGAACCCTTGTAACCACCACCCAAGTCAGAGAATATAATATAGCTAGTCACCCCAGCAACTCGTCATCCCAATCTCAACATCCTTCTTCTCCTAAAAGTAACTACTCCCAAGTTTTATAGTAATATTTGTTTCTAGTGTACATCCCTACAGTCATGTCCATTTTGTAAAAATTTAGTATTTAAGTCAGTCTATAGGTTTCTCCTCCAATACATTCTTTTCTTTATAATCTCTCTGTTGAAGCTCCAGAACTATTGGCCTGCAGAGTTCCTCCACAGTCTGGGTGCTGTTCATTACACACTCATGGTGTAGCTCAACATTCCTCTGTCCTTCTACCTCCTACAAACTGACCTTTACAACCAGAGGCTTGATCGGACTCACATTCCATCACTCCTTTTTAAAAATAGGTTGTTAAAGAAACTGGAATTCCAGGTTTTTACGGGAAATTTCCAATCTTTTAAATGACGGCAATTAATTCATGTTTTTAAGACAACATACTGGTCAAATGAACAGTTTGTAACCTCTGCTAAAGTAAAACGGTTATTAAATATTTTGTTAGTTAATTTAATCATAGAAATTTATAGTGTAAATATTCATAACTGTCCACCTCCCTGGTTCATATGTACATTGGAAATAGCTGCTTTTTATCAATGTGTTAGATATTTTAAATGTCCAGACATTTTCAGTGTATAAATGATTTTTTTTTTTTTTACAAAAATGGGATTCTTCTGTTTTGTAACTTATTTTATTATTTTGGTAATATATCTTGGATATCTTTCCTTGCCAGTTGTATATGTATATAGAGTTTTTTGGTTTTTGTTTTTCAAGTTTCCTCCTTATGCAACTAATGAAATTGGCAAAGTCACTGGTGTAAATAGAAGAGAACTTGGGCATGGTGAGTATGAATTTATAAACTTAGATGGTATTCTTACAGAGACTTAGTACACTTTTTTTGCTTATTATATTCTGTTCTAATTTAGGTGCTCTTGCTGAGAAAGCTTTGTATCCTGTTATTCCCAAAGATTTTCCTTTTACCATAAGAGTCACATCTGAAGTCCTAGAATCAAATGGTATGGTATTAAAATATTTTTTTCCTAATCAAAAAGACCAGATTCTCTATTATATTCTTAGCTTTTCATAAGTAATGTTAGATTATGTTTTATTATATTACTACTGTGTCCAAGCCCACTGCAAGAAAAATAATGTGTTTAGTTAAGCATATACTTGTCTGAGTCTCTATTCTTCGTTAATGAAATATCTTGAAAGCAGTATAAAACAAATATTTTTCCTTATGTATCTTTTATAGCATCCAGTTTGGGTTGTGTTTTATTTTTATAAGCAAACCATAAAGCAAGGCCAGCTTGGGGAGAGTAAAGACCAAAATAGAGTGACCCTTTGGGCAAGGGACATCAGTCCTGTATCTCAGATAGAAGTAAACACCACAGAGAGGCTAGGCTAAGAGAGAGGTCAAATTAAAGTTAAAAATCAAGGTAAAGGTACAGTGTTTTCATAAAGGCAGAAGTCATGTAGCAGACATAGATTAGATGATCATAGATATTAAAAACACACAAAAACATGCAACAAAGTACCTCCGAATTTAAACTAGAGACTGTTTTCTCCATAACTTATGGCCCAACAAGGAAGTCAGTGCCCTATATCTTTAACTGCCTTCTGATTAAGCAACAAGAGAAGCATGCTGGTTTTTCTGAGGGGTTTCTTAGAATCAGAATCTCTGCCATTGCTATACAGTAAAACTTGGAGTGAAAGTGGAAGTTCTCTCTCTGTATTATCAGTTGAGAGGCTAAATTTATTTCAGTTAATTTAAATTTAGTAGCCACATACTACTATATGGCTGTTATTGGACTATGAAGCTCTGCAGATTGTGATTTAGGAGAGCTTGCCTTAAGTGCTTTTAAAAAGAAAGAAAGAATACTGAATATGTTATAATTGAATATTTATAAGATAATAGTAATGATTGTCTACATTTTTTAAAAATCAGTATATATATTATAAAGCAAGTTGTTTTTCTTCCTATAGGATCATCTTCTATGGCATCTGTATGTGGAGGAAGTTTAGCATTAATGGATGCAGGTAAAAATTATGTCTCAAAACTACTAATGCTTTATATATACCTGATTAGTATAAAATAAGGGATTTCTTTAAAATTGGACTTTAGTAAAACTTGGAGAAATTAGTTTACAGATTACCAAACCAAGCCAGAAGCAAGGATAGTTACAAAGTACAATTTCAGCTATACAGGTATCTGCTGGAATTCTTATTTTGGGCTAAAAGCAATAAACTGAAGTTACTTACTTGCCTTGGTGACCCAGTGAGCTTTCTCTTTCTCCCCTTCCAAGAAAAAGAGAGAGAGCTCTGCAAGCTGATTCCATTCACTAAGGAAGTATCTGTTTGCAAGCAGAAGTATTAGGACCTATAGAGGGAAGTAACCCTATAATTTTTCAGTCAATTAATGGAAGGCATTAGAAGAACAATGTCACTCGTAGAAGTGTACATACAGTTTAGGAAGGAAGACTGCAAAAAGTTCAGTGTTAATTTCTGGATCTGAAACACCAAAAAGGAAAGTATGTTATGAGGCTCTGAAAACAATTTCTGCCAGTCAGCAATGATGTTATTCAAGAAAAGGGAGAAAAGGAACCTAAAGACGCTCAACAGGACACACAGGGAGTTTTGTATAAGTTCACACATTTACAGTACAGGAAAGCAGAACAATAGGAAGGACAACATAACCAAGGATGAAATGAAAGAAGGACATAAATATATAACATCATCATCTAGAAAGATTAAAACTTAAAGCAAAACAAATAAAGCTAAAGTAAATTGCAGGCACTTTTCAGATTGTGTTCAGTGGAAGGAAAATATAATTTGATACTTAAGGTAGCTGGTACAAGACTATGCCTATTTTTACCTTCATGCAAGTATTCAACAAATCTTTATTGCATGCCACTCTATGCCAAGCACTGATCTAAGCTCTTAGGACACAGTGGTGAACAAAGTCCAAAGAGTGTGCTTTAAATGAATTCAGATCTTTTGGTCTGGATAAAAACCCATCCCTAAGTAAAGATGAGATCCTCAGGATGAGATAACTCTACTGTGTTGTCAGTATAAAGAGAATGGTTTATAAGTATTTTAGAAAGGAAGGGAGCTGTAGAGAGAAGGAATCAAAAAGGACTCACTTAAAAATAAGTTATGTCATAGTAAACTCATTTTCTGTTTTTGAAAATATTACTAGGTTTGGAGTGGGGAGGGAGGAGGATGCTTATGTACTGTATCTAGAGTTCAGATTGGCAGTTTATGGTCTTTGTGTAAATGATGCAGAAATTGAGACTGGATGACAAGTTCATCATTCATAAAGGTTGAGAAATGAGCACAGGAGACTAGCTAATATGATCAGTAGAATGAAGAGGCATCTCAAGGTGGGATATTTGAGGATGCTTCATCCTAAACCCTGTCTCTTTCAACATTTTTGTTACTGAGTTGACTGAGAATGTTGCCCTGATGATAAAAAGGATACTGATAAAAAGGCTGATATGTTACATGACAATTTTGATCTCTCAAAAAAAAGTTAAGATTAAAAAAAACATGGAACCGACCTGAAAAAAATTAAATTTGACAAGAATGACAGGTTCCGTGGGAGGAGTCAATGAAGGGTGCGCAGTTCAATTCAAAATGTCTCCTTGCCATGCTGTACATCATGCACTGTTCTGTGCTCCATCAATATAGATGTTACCTATTTTTTTTTAAAGTTTATGGGTGCAAAAACAAAGATACCAGTAGATCAAAAACGTAATACAAATATGTACAAGGCACAGATATGTACAATAGGAACAACTAGGTTGAAGGTAATCAGCTTTAAGGGTTGAATAGTTATTGACCAGCATATTAAGAGTAGGGTTCATATTTCATGCGAAAGGACAGCATGTACAAAGTGATGAGGCAGTAGTGTATTTCTGAAATGTATTTGAAAGAAGTGATGAAGTAATAAACTGGGACCAGATTTTAAAGGTCACTGTTAGGCTAAGAAATTTGAACTTAAAGCTCATATTTTCTAGCACAGTGTTCCATAAAATAGTGTTCTATAGGATGTTATTGTATACCATGAAAAAAATTACTCTGTTCCAAAAGTACATTTGAACAGGGTTAATCAGGTTTATTTAATATAGGTTAAATAAATTTTAATAAGCTACTCAATCTCTAGAAACAGGGTACGTACTATTTCCAAAATGTTTGTGATCACAGAGCATGTATAAAAATTTCCTGAAAGCAGATAATGGGAAACGTGAAGGATTTTATGTGGAGAAGCAACATGATTTGAATCTGCCCCCCACCACCCTTTTTTTTTTTTAAGGTAGTTATTTCCTCAGTTAACTGTTAGCCGTAGGAGATGGAGAGGATTAGGAGCTATGGGGAGAGGCTAAAACTGGGAAATCAGTCAAGAGGACAGTTGTCAGGAAAAGAAAGAATGTGGGCCTGAACTAACAGAGTGAAAATGGATATTTCAGTATTTAGTGGAAAGAACAACTTTCTAAAAGAATTTAGAAGGTAAGCTAATCAGATATTTGTGACTTGATGGAACATAGGAAATGAGGAGAGAAGTGTTGATTCTGGCATGATTGTGTTAGTTGCCTTCAACCACAATAGGGAATGCAAAGAACAAGGATTTATTGATGGTCATTAAATTTGGGGGTTATATATATATATATATAAGGTGGTTTGGGACATTTAGATGGAGATGTCCAATAAGTGTATTGGCTATAGAGATTCAGGGCTTAGCAAAGAAACTATGCAGAAGAAATAGATTTTTAAGTCATTAACATTATAGGAGATACTTAAAACTGCAGGCACAAGTGAGATTGCTTAGAGAATATAAAATGAGATTCCCTACCATGCTCCTTTATACCAGTAAGTTCCAAATGATCAAAAGTTAAACATTTTCTTTAAAACTGAAACATGGAAAATTTTATCAAAATCTTGAATAGGAGAAAAACATTCAAAGCACAATCCAATAACAGTGATTACATATAACTTTTAAAATTTTATATAGGGGGGAGAAAATCACAATGAACAAAGTCAACAGATAAGGAAATAATATTTTATACTTCATATTTTACTTACTATAATACTCTATATCTAACCAAGATCTACTGTCCATATTGAAAAAGCTCTTACAATTCAGTAAGGCAACTACCAACCAACTAGTAAAATGATGACCATGAATAGGCAGTTCACAGAAAAAGAAATATAAAGGTTTATAAACATGAAAAAAAGAAGTTGACCCTCACTCACAAAAACAAATCAAATTAAAACAGTGAGGTACCATTTTTACCTTTTACATGGGCAAAGGTCAAAAGATTTGACAAGGAATAACAAGAATAGAATAGCAGGCACACTCATATACTGTATAAAATGGTACATTCTTGGAAGGCAGCTTGACAGTATAATAAATATAAATCCACACATGCTTTGACTCAGGAATCCCACTTCCATTGTATGGTTTATAAACACATGCAAGGGTACTAAGCAGCCATTCAAAAGAGTAAATTAGAGCTTTGTGTGTTACATGTCAAAATCCACGATAATGTTACTAAGCAATAACAATGCAAAATAGTGCATAAGTAAAGAAAATAAAAAGATTACACTTATATTTATACTTGTGCACAGAAATTTTCTGGGAGAATACATGAAAAAACCTAATGGTGGCTGTCATGGGGAGGTAGACTGAGGGATTCAGGCTGGAAGTATTTGCCAAATATGTGCTTACTTTCAAAAGCAAAAAGGGAGAAAGGCACCAAAAGCAAAAAGGCAAACAGATTACTTTAAGAGCTAAGTTTGCTATTAATTTGAGAGATTTTTATTGTGTACAGTGATTACCTCTTAAAATTGTTTTAAGGGGCTTTTTTAATATGTTTAAGAAGAAATGAGGTAGTCAGGACTTGTTAAGACCTTTCCAACCTAGTTTTGGTGATTGTCAACTTAGAACACCATCCACTTGAACTAAAGTGTCAACGGAATGAGAAATACATGTGTTAGGCTGATGTACACATTGCACACAGTTCCTTTTCTCAATTATAGGGGTTCCAATTTCATCTGCTGTCGCAGGTGTGGCAGTAGGAATGGTCACCAAAAACAATCCTGACAAGGGTGAAATAGAAGATTATCGTTTGCTGACAGATATTCTGGCAAGTATATTCATATTTCAAATATTTAGTGGTGAAGAGTATAATTTGTAAGTACCATATGTTTAGAACAAGACTAGTACTTGAGAAATAGAGGTGCTTGTTCTCTCCTCTGTTTGTCTTGGATTTTATAGGATGTGAGTTAAAAATATATATTATAGTATAAGTATCCATAATGGCCCATTTTAGGATGATTGTAAATTAATCCTTATGCATTTATGAGGGGAAACATCTACCAATAAACTGATGAAATATTTGTGACTTAAAAAGTCACAAATTGGAAGTAGTAATGTAGAAGGTATTTCTTTGTGTGTAATCTTAGAGCACATGGCTTATTTCCAAAGCTGTTTTTTTTTAATTCCTGTACAATGACTATGGATGAATTTCATTTTTAAAACTATATCACAATTCTTAAATTCCTTAAGGGAATTGAAGATTACAGTGGTGACATGGATTTCAAAATAGCTGGCACTTCTAAAGGAATAACTGCTTTACAGGTATTTTAAAACCTATTTGTTTAATTTTTATAGTATTTATATAATGTCATTAATCAATATTTGTGTAATTTTTTGGCCTTTTCTTATTAGGCTGATATTAAATTACCTGGAATACCAATAAAAATTATAATGGAGGCCATCCAACAAGCCTCAGGTAAGCTAAACCAGTGTTCCTAATTCTCCTTTTATCATTGTTTCTTTGTTAATAGGAACTATAATCCCCATTAGGCTTATTATTTAAAAAATAGGTTTATTATAAAATACTGCTTTAGAAAAATTAGATTTCATATAACAACCTAGATCAAGAAGTATTAAGTTATTGGGCACATGACTAACCACCCAAGTGGAGACCAGTAAAAATTCAACTTTTGCTACTTAAGTAACTCCCTAAAATAGAATTTATGGAGAAGGGAAACAAGTAGAATTATCAAGGTAATTGGAATATGAAAAGCTTTGATTATTAAGCTAAAAAGTTTGGAGTTTATTCCATAAAATCTAAAAATATCAGTATATCTGATCACATTTATTTTATGTAGTTGTAATTTCTATATGTTTTTCTATTCTAGTGGCAAAGAAGGAGATATTACAGATTATGAACAAAACTATTTCAAAACCTCGAGCATCAAGAAAAGAAAATGGACCTGTTGTAGGTAAATACATTAAAATTAATACTGACTTCATGATAAGGTAAATATTTATGTATGAAAGTATATTATTACTATTTGAGTTTTGTTTTTAACTCCATACACAAAACAAATATTTTAAACACTTTTCTGGTAAAAATACTTTAAATTTAGGGGAATATTCTTAGACATTTGAACTTCCAGTAATTTTACTCAAGTAAACTTTTTCTATTTCATATTGAAATATGTTTACATGTGTCCAGACCAAAAAAATATCTTGACTAGGGTGACTAGGGTATGTTTTATGTTTTATAGTCATATGTATATCTGAATTACTTATATTTTTGTCTGCACTACATTTCAGAAACTGTTCAGGTTCCATTATCAAAACGAGCAAAATTTGTTGGACCAGGTGGATATCATTTAAAAAAGCTTCAGGCTGAAACAGGTAAGGGTTATGTGAAGTATGAGGTGTTTTATTTAATGCTAGCCTAGGTAAGTATGTCATTTCATCTCTATTGTGTTGCTTGAAAATTATGTTTGAGAAATGAAAGACTAAGAGAAAGGGATATAACATTGACATGTCTTTACGTAAGTTTTCTGTATGCCTCTTAATAAATCAGCAGTCATCCTTAACCATATTCAAGACTGACCTAGAATTCACCAGTTTCTTTGCAGCATTTTAAAATCATTTAGAAAAAATGCTTAGTTTTCATTTTAGAGGAATTTTTATTTAATTTTCTCTTATAATTAGTTCTGCTATTTCGCACTTAGTCTTACTTAGACTCTTATTCGAAAAATTGTGTAGAAATAGTATGCTTTCATTTGTTTTTTCGGGAAGCAACCTTTGGGTTACCTAGTACTTACCAGCTTTGAGGTTATTCAAATAAAGGGAGAAGCAGAGTTGACTTAGCCAGTTCTTAAGATTGAGAAACTGACATGATTTTGTCCCTTATCCCATCTGTTCACCACTCTAAACAGTAAAAGGAAGAAGAAAAGGTAAGGAAAGAGTTCTAGTATAGTTTCTACTCATAATTAAGAAGGCAAAACCAAACTCTCCAAAACTAGAACTTACATCTCCCACCAGATTGTGGGCTCCAGGAAGGTTATGGCATTGGCTTACTGTTATATCCCCAGAGCCTAGCACAATGTCAGGTAACATAGCAAGTATGCAATGTGTTATTAGTTGGTAAATGAATCCCTTCATTCCTAAAGTGGTGATTAAACATAGCACACCCAGCTACTTCAGATCACTCCCCTGCTCTCACATCTACTTCTAAGACTAGTCTCCACTGGAGTGAGCAAGTTAACTTTAAAATGTTAAATTTATCTTTTTTGAAGGAGTAACTATTAGTCAAGTAGATGAAGAAACATTTTCTATATTTGCACCAACACCCAGTGCTATGCATGAAGCAAGAGACTTCATTACTGAAATCTGCAAAGATGATGTAAGTACATCTTAGAAATACTATTTTCATCTTTTTGTTGCTGTTTTCTTTATCTCTTGTGGTTTATTTTCTGCTTACAGCAAGAGCAGCAGTTAGAATTTGGAGCAGTGTATACCGCCACAATAACTGAAATCAGGTAATACCAACTAATAGACTGTGCTAGTTTTTATAATATAAGTCCATGTTACCTTCACATTTGCATTACTACTTTGAAAATGTAGGGTGTTTTTCATTTTCTATACCAGTTTGAAGATTTTCAGTAACATGATTCTGATTTTAATTATACCAATAAGATTCTTCTAACTGAATTGCTTTCTTTAACCAAATTTGCCACCATTTTAATTTTCCCAGAAACAGATTTAGCAATATTTCTTCCTTCCTCCCTCCCTCCCAATTTAAATACTTTAAAAAGAAATTTTAATGAGGTATCCCATTTTATGTAGCCCCCTTCCTTAAATCACTTCACAATAAGTTGATAACAATTCTACAGTATTTAAATACTTAAATATTAATATATAAAATTTTTTTTAATTTTTGGAAAAATACTATGAAGAAAAATAGGGAAGAATATATATTCTAAGAGCTTTTCACTACACATTTTTCCTTTATCTTTTTTCCTCTATGCTTTGATTCTTAAGTATTTAAATACAGGGAGAAGCAGGTATATTTTCAATTGGAAAATAAGTATCCCTTTTCAATAATCATACTTATTCCAGTTAAAAATAACATGTACTGGAGGGGGGTTTTTGTGTTTTTTTACTTTGTTCTCCCATGAAAACATAATCACTGTTTAATTATCGATAGATATACAGATATAATACTTATTGTTTTAACCAGGCTTACTTCCTTTCATAGAGACACTGGAGTAATGGTTAAACTGTATCCAAATATGACTGCAGTACTACTTCATAACACACAGCTTGATCAACGAAAGGTAAAAAAGAAAAATGCAGACTTGATCATTTTTAAAACTGCCTTAAAATAACAGTAGTAAAATTTCCTAGGCCAAGGATTGTACACTTTTGTCTACTACTAGCCTAATTACAGAAAACCAAAAATAACAGACATGATGCTGACAAAAGGTTTTATTTATGCTGTTTACCACGGATATTTTTGTTTATCCTTCCATGATGGAATAGGAACACTCTCGAGTATTTTGAGGTAGAACAACATCTGGAGTTACCACATAGCAGTTATCAAAAATGTCTAACTATAGCCCTGTTTTCCGAATTTTCTTGACCAACCAGTCTTAGCAAGATTTCTTAAGATGTTTTTCATTTTATTTAATCTTTGTTATACTTCATATATTTGGAAAACTAGGAATATGAAACTATTTAAGAAAACTATGGAGAACAAATGGGAGTGTCTGTTGTACCATATATTAAAATATACCATAAAGCTATACAGAATAAAACAATGTATTATGGCACAGAAATAGACAGTTCATTCAACAGAAAAAGAGAGACCAGAAATAAACCCACTTATGTACACAGGAATACAATACATGCTAGAAGTCACTTTTTTCAGTCAGTGAAAAAAAAAAGAATACTCAGTAAATCACACTTGTACAGCTAGATATCATAAAGCAAGATCCCTACTCTTTACCAAAATCTCATCTGGATCAAGGAGCTGGGTATTAGGAAAAAAATTGTAGTGGTAAGGGAAAAGGAAATTCAGGCATTGGGGGAATATTGAGGAAGGATATTGTAAGAAAATATGGATATTGTAGTAATCTTGAGACTAGAGAAATATTTTTCAGCATGATATCAAAGCCAAAAATGTAAATAAACTGATAAAATTTGACTTGATTTTTTTAAATTATATGGCAAAATTATAGTAAGATTGAAAGATAAGTAGCAACTTAGGAAAAAAACATTTATATATGACAGAGGCTTCATATACAGGGGACTAGTATAGCACAGTAAGAAAGATGAGTATCAATAGTTAAATGAACAAAGAACATGGACAAATATTTTCTTCTTAAAAGCCAACCAAGATACTCACTATCAACACTAATTTTTTAAAACACAATCAAGTTACCTAATTTTTCAATTTTCAGGTAGTTGCAAATTCCCAATGTGGGTGAGTGTGGAGAACAAATTTACATTTCCATACTTTGGTAAAAATTTTATGAGTACTTTTGGACCTAGATGCTCAGAACATTTAAAGGACTTTGTTCTGAGAAGATGGAGATAGATCATAATCACTGCAACACTGCAATTTTATGACTTAACTTTTTATTTTGAAATATTTTAAACGTACAGAAAAATTGAAAAGATAGTACACTGACCACCCATATATGTTGCATGTAGATTCACCAATTATTAACATTTGCAACACTGGAATTGTAAAACAAATGATCATCTTTAGGGGATTGGTTAAACAAATTATGTAGTTTGAATACTCCACTGTAATGCTTCACTTATTGACATGAAAAGATGTCCACAACATATTGAATGAAAAATAAGTATATTATAAAACAGCAAACTCAGTAAGGTCCATTTTTACAAATGCCTTACATATACCCTAAACAGATATTTCAAGGGATACTCAAACTATTAGCAGTAGTCATCTACAGATAGAGGGGTTTTGGATGATTTTTACTTTGATCTGAGTATGTCTGTATTATTTTAAATCTTCATAGATTTTATAATCAGAAAAACAAGCTGTTTCCACTTGGGAAAAACATATTTCCTGGCCATGGATATTAGGTAATTATGCATGACACTAATAGACAACATATTCTCTTTCAGATTAAACATCCCACTGCTCTAGGATTAGAAGTTGGCCAGGAAATTCAGGTACTTGTATTCAACCTTTTAGACTTAAAGATGTAAACTTAAGTTTCAATTATTTAGAAACTTAGAAAAAATAAACTAAAAGAATTGATCATTTCTTTATATGCCGAGCTTTTTTAACCTTGCTTGCTTAAGCAGACTCATTAAGGAATGAAGACACAATTCTTGCCATCAAAGAGCTTACAGTTTAGTTAAAACGAAGTCCTCTCTAGCGCTTTAAAAAATACGGGAGCAAGTTGGTGATTTGGAGACAGGACATGAGAACCCTGATAATGCAGTTTTGTTGAAGGCCTTAACATCATTATTTGAGGATTTTAAACTTCAGTTGCTTCAGTACTGTTTGAGGCTAAGTTTTTGAGTTCAGTGAAAGCCATGTTGTTCAGTTCTAGAATTCTGATAACAAAATTGACCTTTTTAATAGTTCTTTATTAGTGGATGAAAGAATTCATTGCCAGTCTTGGTTTTTCCGGCCACACTACATTCTGTGCCAGTTATACCTAATAACCCTGATCTCAGTAACCAAGACTTCTAGTTTACTCCCAAACTGTAGTACCATTGTTCAATGTAGCCTCTAGGGAAAGATGAAAACTAAGACATACTATCTCTGTTAACATTTCTTTAACATGAGAAGGGACTTGAAAACTGCCATATTTCCCCTCATTTCTAGTGTGATAGTCCTTTGAGCACTAGTCTGAGTGACCTAAACATAATTCTGTGTAAGTTTGTAGTAGAATTAGGTTTAAAAAAGCCCTAGAACCATTCTCCAAGGCTTTGACTGTTCTTCCAATCTAGGAACTTGGCCTGAAGAGAATAAGAAGGCACAGACGAGTCTAACATAAGGTTATAATTGGGCAACTAAATGACTCCATCATTTTTTGTAATCATTATTCAACCAAATTATATTATTAGGGTATACCTCCACTTAGCACTGAGGTGTGCATTCAGTGAGCAAGTAAAAACATTTATAATTGCTTTATTTGGACCATGTAAATTTAAATATCTTTCAATTTGGATGTTAGTATTTTGTAACTTTAAAAGCAAATTCATTTCTTTAACACAGGTTAAGTACTTTGGACGTGATCCAGCTGATGGACGAATGAGGCTTTCTCGTAAAGTGTTACAATCTCCAGCTACAAACACTGTCAAAACTCTAAATGACAGAAGCAGCATTGTAATGGGAGAATCTGTTTCACAGTCATCATCTAATTCTTCCTAGTAATTTTTTTAATGAGAATTCTAGGGTGATACTCTGTAGAACAAAACTTCAGTAATATCTTTTAATGTAACATGTAGATTTATATATAGTATAAATATTCTAATTATTTGTATTAAAATGCTCATTTTATGTGTTCATTTTATTTCAAGAGTTAGTTTTATTCTTACTTACTTTATTAAAAGTAAAAACCATTTATACATCTTAGAAAAGACTGCCCTTTACTTCCTATAATTCTGAAAACTGAAAAACTTAGAAATAGATCATACTTGCTACTACAATGATTCTTTTCCCATATATCTTGTTTTTCTTCTTTTTGATACAGTAGCAACAGTTACTCTTAGTCATCTTATGGCTTTGCATAACAGCCTTACTTGCCTACACTATGTCACCAAGTGGAACTTGCCATATTCAAAGCCAGCACCCTATTTCTTTAGTACAGTTACCAGATACAGAAGGAGTTAAGGGAACTAATTTGAGTTCTTTTTAATGATATGTGACCTTTTAAATTGGTCACAAAACCAGAAGCAGTATGAACTGAATATTTCAGCCAGAGGATTGTGAAGGCAAAAGAATCTGTGACAATAGGGAATCTGAAGGGACAAAGTCATTTTGAAGAGAAAGATGTGTGACTTATTAAATGACTGTGAGGTGTCAACCAATATATTGGTTGGATATTCACCTGAATATCCTAGAAAGCAGTTGAGAAGTGACTTTTGTAGAGAAAATATTTAAAACAGTCCCAATTTTAAAATTTAAAGCATATTGCATGCAAATCACTGCAGCAGGTTTCAAAATAACTGAAATTTACAAAATTAAAATTAAAACTACCTATTATGAGCACAGTACTAAGCTGTGAACACTTTATTTCCTCCTGGGACTTAAATATAGTCTGATATAGAGTTACTAATTAATGAAAGGCAGAATGATAAGCACTCTAGTGAAGGTTTAAAAAAAAAAAGGGAAAGATAGGGAGAGAATAGGTTAATTGTAACTAGAAGAAAAATTGAAAAGTCCTAAAATGCAGAATTTGGATTGGATTTCAAAACTGAGAGGTGATATTCCAGCTAGGCTTTAAAGTAAAAGCCACCTATGGAGTGTAGTTATATCAGCAAATGAAGGAGAGTAAATAAAGGTGAGGTTGTGGAGGGGGTTAGAATACTAGATTTAGGACTCTGAACATTGTGCATGTGTTGGGAAGCACTGAATACTCACTACATGGAAACCAAAACTGCATAGTTAGCTATAGTTTCTAATATTGTGGCTATAAAACTTAATTGATTAGGACTTATAAAAGTAGAAGAGATATTTGAAAAGAGAAAACATGAAAATAAGATTATTATTTATGAAAACATGTAAATTGTCTTTGAGTTAAAATTGGGATAAAACATGTTTCAGGTATATATTATAATTGATATTTGTACACTTCAGAGTAATCCCCACAAGTTTAGTCACCACCCATCACCTTAAAATAGGGCCCCTTCACCTATTTTTGCCCTTCCCCAAATCCCTTTACCCTCTTGTAACCACCAATCCATGAGTTTGTTTTATTTAGATTCCACATGTAAGTGAAATCAGATGGTGACCTATCTCACTTAGCATAATACCCACAAGATTCATCTGTTATCACAAATGGCAAGATTTCATTCTTTTCTATATCTTAGTATTCCATTGTATATATACACTATTATGTTTACCCATTCATCCATTGATGGACATTTAGGTTCTTGGCTACTGAAAACAGTATCACAATGAACATAGGGTACATTTATCATTTCTAATTAGTGCCTTCATATTCTTTGGATACATACCCATTAGAACAGCTGGATCATATGGTAGTTGTAATTTAATTTCTTGAGGAACCTCCATACTTTTTTCCATAATGGCTGCACCAATTTATATTTCCACCAACAGAATGAGCACTCCCTATTCTCCACATTCTCTCCAACACATTATTTCTTGTATCTTTGTGGGTTTGTTTTACATTTCTCTGATAGTGGTGTTGAGCATCTTTTCATGTGCCTGCTGACCATCTGTATGTCTTCTTTGGAAAAATGTCTATTCAGATCCTCTGCCCACTTTTTAGTTAGATTGTTTATTATTTTACTGTTGACTTCTATGAATTCTTTGTTTTTTTTTATATTAACCCTTTATCAGATATATGATTTGCAAATATCTTCTCCCATTCTCTAGGTTGCCATTTCATTTTGATAGTTTCATTTTTTGTGCAGCTTTTTAGTTTGATATAGTCCCATTTATTTTTGCTTTCATTTCCCTTGTGTTTGGAGTCAGATCCAAAAAACGAAATCACTGAGACTAATGTCAAGCAGTTTTAATGCCTGTTTTCTTCTACAAATTGCAGTTTCTAGTCTTCCATTCAACTCTTTAATCCATTTTGAGTTGGTTTCTGTATATGGTATAAGATAGTGATCTAGTTTCATTCTTTTGCAAACGGCTGTCTAGTTTTCCCAACACTATTTATTGAAGAGACTGTCCTTCCCCCACTGTATGTTCTTGGCTCCTTTTTTGTAAATCAATTGGCCATATATGTGTGGGTTTATTTCTGGGCTTTCTATTCGGTTCCATTGATCTGTGTATTTATGCCAATACAATAGTTTTCATTAGTTTAGCTTTGTAATGTAGTTTGAAATCAGAACATACCTCCTGCTTTGTTCTTCATTCTCAAAAATCACTTTGGCTATTTGGGCACTTTTGTGATTCCATACAACTTTTAGAATTATTTCTTCCAGTTCTGTGAAAAGTACCATTGGGATTTTGATAGGGATTGCACTGCATCTGTAGATTGCTTTGGGTATTACGGACATTTTAACAATGTTAATTGTTCTAATCCATGAATATCTTTTCATTTACTTGTATCTTCTTCAATTTCTTTCATCAGTGTCTTGTATTCAGTGTACAAGTCTTTCACCTCCTTGGTTAAATGTATTGTTAGGTATTCTTTTTTATGCAATTGTAAATGGGAATCTTTTCTTTCTCATTATTAGTGTACAGAAATGAAGCAGATTTCTGTATATCCTGCACTTTAATGAATTCATTTATTCTAACTACTTTGGTGAGGTCTTTAGGGTTTTCTACAGATATATAGTATCATGCTATTTGCAAATAGTGACAGTTTACTTTTACCTTTCCAATTTGGATGTCTTTTGTTTCTTCTTCTTCCTAATGCTGTCACTAAGAATTCAAATACTATGAATCGAAGTGGCAAGAGTGGCAACAAGGCACGCCATCAGGTTGGCTGAGTGGTCTAAGAGTGGGCAGACTTGCCTTGTTCTTGATCTTCAGAAAAAGCTTTCATCTTTTCAGTTAAAGATGATGTTAGCTATGAGTTTGTCATATATGGCCTTTATTATACTGAGGTACATTCCCTCTACACCTGTTGTCGAGTTTATCAGAAATGGATTTTCAATTTTGTCAAAGGCTTTTGCATCTATTGATGTATGATTTTTAATCCTCATTCTGTTAATGTGGTACCTCATGTTGAGTGACTTGTGTATGTTGAACTATCCTTGCATCCCTGGAATAAATCCCACTTGGTCATGATGTATGGTCATTCTAATGTATTGATGAATTGTATTTGCTAACATTATGTTGAGGATTTTTGCATCTATGTTCATCAGGGATATTTGCGTGTAATTGTGTGTGTGTGTATATGTGGAAACATGGACTGATTTTGGTATGATTATACTTCTGGTCTCATAAAAGGTGTTTTATCCTCTTCAATTTCTTGGCCAAGTTTCAGAAAGATAGGTCTGAAACCTCTGAATGTTTAGTAGAACTAGTGAAGCCATATGTCCTGGACTTTGGTTTGTTGGGAGATTTTGATTACTGAATCAGTCTCCTTGCTAGTACCTGATTCAGATTTTCTATTTTTTAATGATTCAGTCTTGGAAGACTGTGTTTCTAGGAATTTATCCACTTACTCTAGGTTGTCCAATTTGTGGGCATATAATTGTTTGTAGTGGCCTCTCATACAAATACTTTGTATTTCTGCATTATCGGTTGTACCTTCTTTCATTTCTGATTTATTTGAACCTTCTCTTTCTCTTGGTGTGTCTACCTAAAGGTTTGTCAGTTTTATGTTTTCAAAGAGCCAGCCGTTAGTCTCAGTGACCTTACTATTGAATTTTTAGTCTCTATTTCATTTATTTCCACTTTGATCTTTATTCTTTCTTTCCTCCACCAACGTTGGACTTTTTTCTTCTTTTTCTAGTTCCTTTACATGTAGAGTTAGATTGTGTGAGATTTTTCTTGCTTCTTGAAGTAGGCCTGTATCATCACTCTTAACTTCCCTCTTAAAACTGCTTTTGCCGTAATTTTGGATTTCGGATTGTTTTATTTCCATTTTCATTTGTCTCCAGATATTTTTTTATTTCTCCTTTAATTTGTTCATTGACCCATTGGTTGTTCAGTAGCATGTTGCTTAATCTCCACATATTTTTTCCAGTATTTTTTCTATAATTTGTTTCATACCATTATGATTAGAAAAGATGCTTGCTATTATTTAAGTCTTCTTACATTAATTGGGACTTGCTTTGTGGCCTAACATACAGTCTGCCATGAAGAATGTTCCCTGTGCACTAGAAAATAATGTGTATTCAGCTGCTTTTGGATGTTCTATATATCTATCAAGTCCATCTGCCCTAATGTGTTATTTAAGGCCAATGTTTCCTTATTAGTTTTCTGTCTGGATGATCTATACATTGATGTAAGTGGGGTAATAAAGTCTCCAACTATTATTGTATTGCTGTATATTTCTCCCTTTAAGTCTGTTACTATTTACTTAAATATTTAGGTGCTCCTATGCTGGGTGCATAAATATTTACAAATGTCATATTCTCTTGTTGGATTGACCACTCTATCATGTAATGCCCTTGTCATTACTTTGTTTTAAAGTCTGTTTTGTCTGATATAAGTAAAGCTACACCAGTTTTCTTTTTGTTTCCATTTGCATGGAAAACCATTTTTCATCCCTTCATGTTCAGTCTGTGTGTCCTTAGATATGAAATACGTCTCTTGTGGGCATAATATAGAAAGTCTTGTTTTTTTAATCCATTCAGCCACTCTGTCTTTTGATTGGAAAATTTAGTCCATTTAAAGTAATTATGAATAGGTATGTATT